CGGGCAGCGCCAACAAGCGGAAAATGTTACACATACGACCCGTGTGACGCCACACAAGAGCGATTTGTTTGTTTGTTTGCTCGGGTTGTGTGTCTCTCTCCATGTTTGTCCACCCCGCTTCGCGACTTCTGCCTTGTTGCATTTGCATAATGAGTTCTTCTTGGCCATGGTCGTCGGCCCTGCCTTTCGCCAGTCAAAGGTTGCAGGCACAGGCCGCTTTTCCCCCCATTTTCCCCTGGTTTTCCTGCCTTTCATACCGCTCAGCTGCCTGCAGCGTGTGGCACGTGCTTGTCACTGTTACTGTACATATCGGTGAATACATATAAAAAAGCTGAATCAGACCAAGAAATGCAAGTTGGAATTTTAATTCCGGTAAGACAGTGAATTGTCTTAACAAAAAATATTAATTTTAAATTTTAGGACTACAAATATAATATCTAAATCGTTAAGATTTATTCATATATAAAACTGTTTTTATGATAACTTATAAAACAAAATCTATAAAATTGCCAAGAAAATTAAATTGAGTTGTTTTCGGATGGGTTATATAAGATTTTTATCAGCAATATGCCATTAAAATTATCGGATTATATTGTAAATAGAAAATGCTGGCCCATGAGTATTTTGTTGATTTAAATCTGATCAAAACAGTTACATTTATATTTTTTTTACATTTTTCTATGTGTTGCTTCCATGGAAATTTGTTGCGCGAGCGGCAAAGTTTTGTTTTTGTTTGCAATATCCGTCAAGGTCAGACCGGCTGTTCATTATCGCTGTGGTTGTCATTGTTGCTTGGGTTGGATGGGGTATTTTTTGCCCACCCCCACTAACTGAAGTCAAACAGGAAAATGAACAACTGGAAGCTCGAGAAATTCCACCCAAAGCAATCAACCAAAAATGTTATGAATTTCTAGGACTCCATTCAGTAAATTTACTTTATACAAGCTGCCAATAATTAAACAAATTTTAAGGGAAAGGGGGATTTGCTGGGAAATTAAGAGACAGCTGCACCACTGGCACATTACGTATACGCAGGGTGAGCCATGGGACCACAGTCAGCTGGCTAATTGACGACAGCAAACGAAATCGAGAGAATCCCAAAGCTAGAGATTTTTTAGAACAAGCGGCTGGAACGATCGGTAACTGCAAACTGAGAATTGCAAACTGAGATTCTCGACATGAGAATAGCGGTGACTTTTCCAAAGTCGTGAGCAGAGAAAACTGGCCACAAATCCGTGGGATTGAAGGTGATTCGCTGGATGTGCGGAAAGCTCTCGCTTAGAATGATATTGTTTTATTTCTTTATATAATTGTTTGGACTGCGAGCTTTCCGAGATATAAAATTTTTATCTTTCGACTATTTCGTAATGTTCTCTATCGCATCCAGATGCGGGTTCCTTGTTGATATTAATTAGTCGAGGCACTTCCTTGATCGGTCAGTTATCAGTCCAAATAGTTAATTAGTTTCCTAAACTGAACGTTACCTCATCCTTATCTGGCATATTCAGTAATTTGTATGAACACAATCGAAAAGTCTTTTGGATCTGCGCGATCTTCAGGCACGTTCGCGTTATCTGGTTATGTGGACGTTAAACTTATGTGTCAGATTAACCGTAGGTTTAACTAGTAGTTTTTATGGTTTTGATGCAGATACTGGTGATATTATACTGGTTTCTTGATTTTTGATAGTCGCTCGAGAGGTTTTTATGTTTTATTTAATACTTCGAGGGTTTTCACTTATTAAATTTGGTTAATCGTATAATTTTCCAATCTTCAAGCCGGATAAATATATTGCTTAGCTTAGCAATTTTCGAATTCAACTCGTGATGTTGTTCTGTTCTGAGAGACGCGCGCGATTTTCTCGATTTGTCATCCGCTGGCGTCGCGCTGCTTTTCCATTCTGAACTGTCGGAATTATAGAATCGAGAGCTTTTCCGCTTTCAGTAACTGCGGCAGCAACGTCGACCGAGCGAGAGAGCCGCAAAAAAATACAAATAATAATAAACAAAGAGAACCCCTCGGCGATTGCATTTCAGATTCATATTAATTTTGACGTGCTCTTTTTCTTGCCACTGCAATTTTACAATAAACAATAACATCGACTATCTACTGCAAAAGCCATAAGCATGGGGTCTAATCAGGGTGGTGTGATGTGGGCTAAAAGGAGTGTTTTTCTAAGCCCAAACAATACTTATTTGATAGTATAAAAGTGCACAACGATCCATGTGTGCAATGTTTTCACGGAAGTAATTTTATTCTAAGTGCCCTCAAGGTGCGAGCAATCGATCTTCTTCTCTCTATCACACTTTTTACAAATGCGGTTAGGCTATTAAGAATGGAAGAATTTGATAAACTTATAAAATAAATGAAATAATTATCTTTATTAATATACAGATTTGTAATGTTTTTTAATCTTAAAGCCTGTATAGGTCTAAGAATAGTCTTTTAGAACCTATTTAAAACTAAAAATTTATTGAAAATGTACAAAATAAATTTTCTTCGACCTTAACAGTTGCTATACATGTGACCCCAGCTGTTTATTTACATGCATGGCTGGCAAGGTCACAAATTTCGAGCGTGCCAAGTGGTTGACGATTTCACGTTGTGAAAATTTCTTAAATCTAGTTGCATTCATTCACAGCTGCTCGAGTTTCTCTGTTTACAATGTAAACACGTGCTGGGTGAAATTACACAAGAAAAGAGAGCGATTTTTTTTTTTGTTAGAGAGAGTATGAGACGATAGAAAGCGCCAGAGACATTGCGTATACGCATCGTTGGCCATCTGCTGAGGGCACGTGAATGAAGCGTGTTTCGTCGGGTATAAAAATAGACAAGCGGGCGAGATAATTTCGTTATTATTTTAACGATATTCTGGGCCAGAGAAATGACATCTCCGCCCTCTAAAGAATTTTTAACAAGGACGTTGCATTCTTCGTTTTTTGGAGGGGTGGAGTTCGCTGTTTGTTAAATAAAATGAACAATTACGAGCACCAATCATAAGTAGCAAGCTGCACGAAACGACAGACTTTAGTTGTGAAGGTTAGCCAAATGTCAGTTCAGTTTTCCCACTCCCCAACATGGGTGTCCTTTTTGTGGCACGACAGGCACCAGCTCAGGGATTCACAAACACAATCGCAGCTCCGTTTTCCCATTGTCCCTTACAATGGCTTCTGTAGTTTAACATCGTTCTTAACACTAAATTTTACTATACTTTTTAGTTGAAGAGTGATGGATGAAGGGTGCCAAATGCACAGTCAGCTGTTATCAATTTATATCTGTCCATTGCGTTATCCTTGCTCTTCTCGATTAATAACCCTTTTATCGTGACCTTTTATCTCTGTACAACATTTCTCTATTGCCTTCTTTTTGCACCTCAGTAAAGATAATCTATATTTGTTCAAACGGACTTGTTAATTGTTCTTGATTTCATTTATAATGCACAAGTCAAAGTACTACTATCTACATACTAAATGCTCTTTCTTTTTTGAACAATATCGTTTGGTTGTCCTTTAAAATACCAATTATTTATTTAAAAACTAATTAAATTGCAAGAATCTACGCTTTTATTAATTAATTATTAAATTGATAATTCTAAGTCCCTATTTGGACTAAGAAGACATTTATGATAGATCAATATAAGTTTTAGTAAATTAAAAACAGAAAATTATTAAAATTCTTAATTTTTTTCCATATGTCTTATTTTAGTAAATAAAAACTTTTAAATATTTACGTTTTATATGAAAGCGAAAAAGTGTACTTTCAAAAACAATATTGTACATTTTAATTTAAAAATATAAAAAATATTTTTTGAGATATATTCTTTTGCCTTTCCAGCTTATTTATATTGTATGGAGCTAGTCGGCACTTTTGCTCTTTTCGTTTCCTTTTCAGTCGCACTTATTTTTAGATCCGAGCACCTAATCCACCGCCTCTTTTGGTGGCCAGAGGGAGGGCTCCCTCAAGGCGGTGGCTTTGGTAATTAAAGCGCAAACTGGCGCCCACTTGATGCTGAGGGTAGGGATTCTACGGAAGACAAAGGCTAAGCGCCAGCGAGTGCACTTACTTCTTGGCATCGGACGACTGGCAGTGCGGGTATCCAATTAAACGGAAACGGGATGTGCATTGGCATTATCAGCGGCTCAGCGGGTGGGTTTAACTAGAAAGCGTTGACTTTTGGCGCTTTGGCTTCGGCAAATCCAGTGGGGATTATGGGGCTGGTTTTGCACCTGAGCCCAGGTGGGTGGTTTCAAGGAGCTTCTCTTTTATCGATTTTTACGCACTTAATTCCGCCTATCTGGCGGGTAATTCGATTCACTGCCACTCGGATTATCAATTGGATTTAACTCGTCGATAGGTTCCTGTTCCTGAAATGCAACCAGAAATCGAAGGCGGCAGCTGCTGCACTGGGAACACCTTGGAGAACAGGACCGTGCCAGTCAGTCGAGGAATCGCGCTAAACTGGATGACAACATGGAAAACATGGGGTTAACAGGGCCCCAAATGGGTGGTTGTGGAGGGAAATGTTAGAAGTCAAGCAAAATGTTAAGTTTTCCAACCCCTAAGTCTCTGAGAAAATAATATAAACTTAACAAATGACAAATTATTATATCTAAATTTAAGTTGTTTTATATATCATATATGTTAATTTACTTTTTGTAAATTTTGTTTATAAAAATTATGCTTTGCTTACAACAGCTGTTCAGGTAAATCGAAAAAAGTGGTAATTTTGCAAAGGGAAATTTCCCAGCTGAGCTGGTCGGAAAATCGAAGCGCCATCTTGTGCCTTGAGTTTACATTTTTAAAAGCATTTGGTAACGCATAAAATAGTTGACTTAAAATATAAAATCATTTGAAAATCAAAATCAATAAAAAACACCAAGAATATATGTAAATCAAATTTTTACTTCTCTTATTGAATCCCCTAAACAAGTCTTTTTTAAGCTCCAATTATGGTTGGCAGTAACCATTAAAAGTGAAAAATATGGTCAACCATAAACCAGTAGTCATAAATATTTATTTGTTTTAGTACAATAGGTAAGCATGCACAGTTTAATAATAGCATTTCATGAAGATTCGTCTTTGAACAACAGGTTATTGCAAGTAGTAAGCAGTAGAAGGACACGACTCCTTTTTGGAGCGTCCCGAATAGTTTGCACTGAAAGCTGCATGGGTGAGTGTGTGTGTATGCCTGTGTCCGAGTGTGTGTATGTGGGTATGTGAGTGCCGGGTATTGTCCGACAACTGCCTAACATATTAAATATATAGTAGATAGTAACGAACGCAAGGGTAAGCCACAATTAAAAATCACATAGGGTTCTTAAGTGAAAGAATGCAACAAACGGATAGGCCGAAACGCAATTAATAACAACAAATGCCGCCGAGTGCTTAATGTGATGTGTAGACGATCCTCGGGGATCAACAGCTTGCAAAAATACATATCTCTCTCTGTATGCCGAAAATAGTTACTTTCTCTAACTGCCTAAATCTCTGTAATTTCCATGGTCAATCACTCTTTGACACCCGAAATTGGAGCTATTGCTGCATCTGCTGAATTCGCTGCATTTGAGTGACTATCTGCGCAGATCGATGACCTTGATCTTGGCCTGGTTGTCCATCCGTATGTGCTGCGCCTCCATGAAAAGCGGCGGATCATTTGGATGCGGATGAAAGCCCGACTGCCGACACTGCGCGATATAGTCCAGTCCGTAATGTGGCGTGAGTATAAAGAAACCAGTGCTGTCAGAGGAAGATATGATAACAAGATAAGTAGGTGCTATCCAAAATGACTCATGAATGACTCACGTGTTGTACTTGGGTGCGCACACGATCGCCAATGCTTCGGGCATCATAATTTGATAGGAGCAATGCGTGTGCAGGTCAACGGAGGACAAGAACGCAGTCTGGGTGGGATGGGTCTGAAGAAGGGCAGACAATAAACAAAAAGTTTACAATAAAGACATTTAACACCCACATGTATCCATCCCAGCGTAATCAATTGCATCTGATCCTGCACATCGAATATCTGCTCCTCGTGCATCGTGTTGCAGCTATCCGGAGTTCCCTGCTGTTGCGGCGTGATGATGTGCGTGATGTTCAACTGGTTCTGCGACAGATGACCAGCCAACACTCCGCATGTCTCAATGTTCTTCGAGGTGTTGGCAAGGGCCAGTTTGAGGAACACCTCCATCGTATCCCCGGGAACATGAACCAGTCGCAAAGAGCCCGCCAGCAGAGAATCCGTACGGTTGTACGACGGCTTCTGGTTGCGATCGAAGCTTGGCTTGGAGCTGAAACAAAAAAAGGAAGTTTAAAAATAGCAATCTATTGAAAAAATGAATATTAAGCTACCCAACAAATGGAAAAAAATCCAATCCTAAATATTATCGAACTGATAATAACTTTTTAAAGTCGTATAGATTATGAAGTCTAACTGTTTGATGAAACTATCAGTATAATGGGCCTGTCAGTATTCTTATCAAGTTTAATCAAAGTGGGATCGTTTTATTGCCGACGATCGTTCGATAAGCCAGCCTAGGTCTTATGTTTGTTTGAGGTGTCCTATTTCAAACCTCAAACCAGGGGAATGCAGTTTGTAAACAGCAACGGAGCAAAGCAGTGCAAGTATACTGCGTTGTCGGAGAGGCTACTGTCGACGTTGTTTACAGAAATTCTTGGGTTCTCATATTTTGAAATTCAAATAGATGACTAATTCTGGATAACCAGACTGAACAAGGGATTTCTTTGTGCATGAACTAGATAACTAAACTAGACAAGGGAACATTCAGTCCGTATGCTTAGTTTATAAACCCCTCTTTGAATCTCACTTGGCTGTCTTGTCGGCGGCTGCTTCGTTGGCAGCGGGCAGCAGGAGTCCCGATCCCGGCAGACTGCGATTGGCGCCCGTGGGGAAGTCATTGGGATAGACGACCTGGTCGAGCAGGTCCAAATCCGGAGCCGATGGCTGGTTGCCCTCGTCGATGAGCACATGCAAGTTGGCCGGTATGAGAGATGGCACACCGCTAGCTCCTCCGGCCTTCTCCCTTTCCTTCTGCCGCTGGCGCTCTTTTTCCCGCTCCAGCTCCCTCACCCGCTCCGCCTCCTTGCTGGCCAGGAACTGCTCGTACTCCCGCTGGTAGTGGGTCAGCAGCTTGGTGCGCAGCTTCTCCGTCGTGGGCATTATCTCGTCCTTGATCTTCTTGTTGATGTCCCGCACTTCGGCCTTGACACTGCCATAATCCGGATGCTGGCGGATCTTCTCGATGAAGAGGGTCATGTAGCGCAAGTAGAGGATGAAGGCGTTCTCGTGGTTGCCCTCCCGCAGGTAAACATTGGCCATGCGCAGCATCTCGGTGCCAGAGCGATAGTACCTGCAAGGACATGGCGAGTGAGTAACTGAGAACCCCAAAGTCCTTGGCCACACAAGGTCGCAGCCTTGGTGGAATTGACCGTGGAAACGAACGCCTTAAATCGAAGGACTCACCGCGTAACGGGCATGTTCTTGTCCACCTCGATGAGATTGCCACAATGCGACAAGTGCTTCATCCGCTCCTGCGGCTCCACGACGCCCATGCTCATGTTGTTCACAGCCTTGGACATGGTTTCACTAGCTCCTCCTGCTGTTCCAGCTCCTGGTCCTGACTTCCGCTGCCTGTTTCCTTTTCGAGTCCTTCAACTACTGTCTGGGGTCACTGCTCGCATCGATTTGGACGCACAATTCCAATGCTATTCCTCAATCTTCTTGCGTTGAGAATTACTCATAATTACGCAGGTGGCGTCTTTTGAAAAACAGCTGTTCTTTCGCAGTCAGCTGTGGTGTGGGAGAAACATCGATGACATCGATATTTTTAAAACATCGATGCATCGATGTTTCCCCACCTCTAACCTATCGATACCAGAACAACAGAAGTGGCGACCTTTGCGAACGTTACTTTTGAATTTGAATTTAAAAAAATAATTTAGAGTGTTCTAGCTTGGAAACTTCTGGTAATGTTTGGTGATTTCAAAACAGTTGGAATTTATTATAAAAACCTACAATGACATTGTTAATAATTATTTTTGAATTTAAAAGAAGTCTAAGATTCCAACTGTTTTGTTTAAATTTTGGCAATGTTTTTGTGGCTTTCGCGCGTGTCGAAATATAAAGAACACACTTGCTTCAGGTGTTTAAACAAAAGAATAAGGAACTTGTTTTTAAATTCTTAAAGAATGACCCAGCTTAAAATACAAATAACATTTTAACGTAAAAGATTTTACATTGAAGTTTTCTTGAATTAAAGTTTTCTAATGGTACCTTGCTAATTTGTATTTTTTAAAGGGAAACCGTAGAATCCCAATGGAATTGCACATTCCTAATCCGTATCGCCAGCAATATAAAACACGGCTAATCTAGGCAATACTCTTAAGTTTTCGCGATAGCAGCTTTTATCAATTGGTAATTTTAAGACCCCTCAGCTGAATTGATGTTGAACAATCTTTGAGCGTTCATTTAGTAGTAGCGCGTTGGTCGATCCCAAAAGAAGTCGGCAGAAAACTTGTTTCTGGGGTAAGCTAAATACAAAATTCGAAATAATTAGTGGTGCAAATATCGTTTGCAGCGGTCAAAGTGCACACTTGTTTACCCAAGTATATTAGCACTAAGTGGCCCAATCTTATACCCCTGATCTGCGGAAACTAACGAGGCGATATGATAAGCTATCGGTGGATTATTTAAAGCAAACAGATCGGGCAAAACCAACAGTGCAGGTGGGAATATTCGGAGGACTTAAAGGAGGTTTTGGCATAAGATAAAAACTAAGTGCATTATTTAGTTTTCTTATATACATTTTTTAGCACAATTTGCATAGTCTTGAGCAAAACACTTACAGTTCTTCTCAGAAACTTCAACAAATTTCAGTTTTAAATCTGTCTTGGATATTTTTTATTTTGAACAACTTTTACTGTCTATATATTGCAAAATGTATATTTATCTTTGCTACACAAGTTCTTAGCTATGTTTAAAACAATAAAAAATGTGTTAATTATTATAGACCATTAGACATTATGGGTTATTCGAAATATTCTCTGTACTCTCTTTTAAAATGTCAGTTAATACAAGCTCAATACTTGATATAGTTTTGTCCATGTCGTTTGTGATAGCTATCAAACATGTATTTGTATGAACGAAAATAGATTGAGAGACCGCCTTGTTTGATTGACCGCTTGAGCGACTGACCAACTGACTGATGGATGGCACGTACGCCCCCAAAGCGCCCAATAAAATGAAAACCGAAGCCCCGAAAACCCATTCACAGAAGCAAGCGCCGAAAGCCGAGGTCCCCGATTCGGGTTCGGCTTGAAACTGAGTTTGGCTTCCAGCCGAAATGGTTGGCTCGATCAGTCGAGTGCCAGCTTGGGCGCAAAACGGGCCACAAACCACGGATCTCGGTTTCAATTCGAGATAGTTTCGTTTTGCAATTGTTACGAGGGGAGGGGTCAAAAAAAATAAATAAATAAATAAACTGTCGCGTTCGTGGAAAGATAAATAAATCGAAAAAAGTGGGGCCCAGCGTGTTTTGAAATCGGCTCTTGGCATCGACAAACACCGAACTGCAACTGAAAACGCTGCACATTATCCATTAATTGAGGGGATATAAAGCGTGTGATAAGCGCACAATAATTACATAAATTATTTTAGCACTAATTAAAGCCCCGACCAAGTTTAAACCATAAATGACAGTGTCAGTGTTAATAAGCCCCGAACAGTTGCAGTGAATACAGTGCCAGTTTTACACAAAGGAAAAGGAGTTCACATTGCATAAACCTCAAAAACAAAAAAAAAACAAGTCCAAGCATCCCTAAATCAGTGCAAGTAACCACCTCAGTGAGAGATACACATATATCGTATATACTTATCTTATAAAAGGCCCATCAAACGAAATCTTCTGTAATTTGCTCAATTGGCGCGTTTGTCCGGCGATCAGCGTTTGGCGGCCCGTATCCAAGAGATACTTTTGCAGTATCTTTATGGTATATACAATTTGATTGCTCTCTTTTTCGAGTAAGCGTGTAAGCATGTGTGTGCGTTACATTTTTAAGCCTCCAGGCGATTGCAAAAGTATCTGAAATCGAAATCCGCACAAAAGATACATGTGTTTGCCGGGCCATTTGTATCTGTATCTTGTGCGATGGCCCTGCAGCTGATAGTCGCTGTTTTATCGTCGAGCATATTTATTTAATTTTCGTTTTCAATGTCAGGCCCGTGGTGTGTAAATTATGCAAAGTGTATAGACTAATGGGGGTCGGGTGGTCGGTTGGTCGTTTGGTCGGTTGGTCGGTTACTCAGGTGGCTGAGCCACTGGCACTGCTTTACATTCACGGCAATTACTCACTCGATTTCCTACTTAACGCCTTTTGCGGGAATCCAGGAAAGAAACAGAGAGTTCTATATGGAACCCAGTGCGCATACAAAAAAAGTCGATTCATCATTAAATTCGAAACAATAGCAAGCGGAAAAAATAGGAAAAAAACGAGGGAAGAGAGGGGTGCTGCTAATGCGCGGGAGTGGAAAACCCCAACTACTTTTGGTTTCGAGATATACAATAGCGGTCAACATAAAAGAACAATGTTAATAAATAATAATTTTAGATATTAATAATAATTTTTTCTAATATTGTTGTTATTTTTATCTGAAATTGCCATGTATTTTCACAATCAAACAATCAATCCTTCCTGACATTACAAATATATTCTATACTTACAATGATATTAAAAAAAAAATTGCATCTCAATAAAATGTTGTATAACCTAATGTGAGTAATAATATGACTAAAACAATCCGCTTTAAAATTTTAAAAATGATTTTCGCGTAATTTATATAATCTAATAACTTAAAGAAAATTTTAAAGATTCCAATTCCATATAGTTAGACAATTGGTAAAAAATACAATAATTGATATAAGTCAGAATATAACAAGGATTTAAATAATAATTAATAGGTATAGATATTATGTCTGTGTGTTTTTCCAAATTTATTAAGCAGTTCTGTTGTGCTGACCGCCGCTGTAGTAACCATTGAGCCACTGAAGAAGCCGCTTGTGTTTCGCAACTGATAAAAACCGGTTTCGAAGACGGGCATTGATATTGATAAGAGATCCCTCGTCTGTCATCTTACAACTGCGGGTCGGTTGTTTGTTTTGTTATTATTATTACTGTTATTGTTATTGTTATTGCAGCTCGGCTTGTTATTGCTATTGTTATTGTTAATGCCATTGTCGATGGGTCTGCTGGAGGTCACACCCGCCCAATCTTAGCCCCATTCGAAGTGCGATTGCCAACGACCGCGGGGGGAATTTGCATTTGTCCGCTTTATCTATAGACAACTGATAGATGAGGGCCGGATGGATCGTTTTGGATCCAGCTGTCCAGCTGTCCGACTGTCCGACTGTCAATCGATTATCGCTTTCGTCACCATGTCGTTTTGTTGCAGATATTTGCAATCAACAAGCGGATTGCCAAACACGAGCGCGGTCTTTTCATTTACGCGTTTCTGAATTGCTATAGCAATGATTATAGAGCGGACAGATACAGATACTTATATTGCAATTACTCTGATTTTTCATTGATCAGAACTTAAAGGATGTGATTTCAGTAATAAAAGTTACTTAAAAAAGTAATCTTTAAAATATTCTGACAAACGGTTATATTTAAAAAATTTAAAAACTTTTATATTATTTAATATTTTATTGGCCATTAGTTTTCGGCAATTTTAAGTGCGGTCTGATCGAAATATAATTTACAAAGTGTTTAAGCTTATGAATTAACATCTTTTAAATTTTTCGTTAATTTAATTTGATCTTGGCTAGAGGTCTATTTGTTTTCTACTAATTTGACTAATTAATTGATTATTAGGATATAATTTGTTATCTACACTCATTAAAAACCTATTAACATTCAAGACTCATTTGTGGCCATTACTTACTAGTTGTAGAATAATGTAGTTAAAATTTGTATATTTTAAATTTTAGCCATAGAACTGTGTAGATAAATTTTTATCTTTAATTAAAGAGTAACATCCATTTATCGTGATTTTTGAAATTTTTTTTTTCAGCGTGATAAATTGTAAATATTTATGTCAAAGATAACGCTCTATATAACTATACATTTTGCTATAAATTAAGAGAAGTTAAACAAATAGGGAAAGGTTAGACTGCTGCTAAATATTTTGCTTTCTTAAATAATTTTTTTAAATACCTATATTTTTAGATCAAAGTCAAGTGCCACAACCCGAAGATGGGCATTAGCAAACTAGCTTTCTTGTCTCTTTTGGCCCTGAGTTCACTGTGCGGATTGGCCAGTGCCACCTACAAAGTGGGCGTGGGCCGAGCGGACATCACAGGACCGCCAGTGGAGATCAATTTTGTGAGTATCTCTCCATAATATTTTTGATTTTCATAGGATTAATTCGTTAATCTCCTCTGATAGATGGGCTATGCCCACATCAAGCAGGTGGGTCGTGGCATCCACACCCGAGTGTTTGCCCGTGCTTTTGTGGTGGAGGACGAGAAGGGCAACAGAGTGGCCTTCGTAAGTGCAGATGCCGGGATGATGGGCTTCGGCCTGAAGAGGGAGGTGATAAAGCGTCTGCAGGCACGCTATGGCAATGTCTATCATACTGACAACGTGGCCATAAGTGGCACCCACACCCACGGAGCACCGGGTGGATTCCTGATGCACCTGCTCTACGACATCTCCATTCTGGGCTTTGTTCCCCAGACCTTTGAGGTCATGTCCCAGGGGATTTATTTGGTGAGTGTGTAATATATACAAATCAAAAACATAAATTACCTATTGCAATTTCCATTCCCACAGGCCATTAAACGTGCCACAGACAACCTGGTCGATGGTCGCATCTTTCTGTCCAAGACCACAGTGCTGAATGTCAACATCAATCGTTCGCCCACATCCTACCTGAGGAATCCCGCCGAGGAACGGGCCCAATACGAACACGACACGGACAAGACACTGACTCAGCTGAGATTTGTGGACCTGGAGAACAATCTGCTGGGTGCTTTCAACTGGTATGCAGTCCATGCTACATCGATGAACAACACCAACCAGCTGGTGACCAGCGATAATGTGGGCTATGCTGCTCTCCTCCTGGAAAAGGAGTACAATCCGAATAAGATGCCTGGGAAGGGGAAATTCGTGGGCGCATTCTGCTCCTCGAACCTTGGAGATGTTTCCCCCAACATAATGGGTCCCAAGTGCTCCATTTCTGGCAATGAATGCGACCTGCTGTCTTCCCGTTGTCCCGCTGGCGAGGGCGAATGTTTTGCCTCCGGACCGGGAAGGGATATGTTCGAGAGCACCCAGATTTTGGGCCAAAGGTTGTCGGATGCTGCTCTGGGATTGCTCAACGAACAGAGCCAGGAATCCACTGCTCGGGAGGTGACTGGAGACGTGAGGTTCATCCACCAGTTTGTGGACATGCCCAATTACAATGGTAGCACCTACAATCCGCTGACCAGAAAGGTCGACAAGGTCAGAGGTTGCCAGCCCGCCATGGGTTACAGCTTTGCTGCCGGCACCACCGATGGACCGGGAGCCTTCAGCTTCGAGCAGGGAACCACCACGGACAACGCCATGTGGAACTTTGTGCGCGACTTCATTGCCGCTCCCACGCAGGAGGACATCAAGTGTCATGAGCCGAAACCCATTCTTTTGGCCACCGGCAGAGTGAGTACCCCAAAAAAGATACAAATTTGGAAGTTCTACTTAAGTACATAGTACAGATTTGTTAGGTACATTTTATTTCGTGCCTAGAAGTATGGAACTTAAAGTTATTTTTTATATTTGAGAAGTTTAATGATTGCTTATATTTCATATAAATATATGAGTTCGAAAAACTAACATTTTAGACTTGAAATAGACTATTAAATATTTATAATAGTTTCAAAATATTTATTCTATTTAATTCTATCAAATGACTTCAAATACTTTTTTCATTACTTTATATCCCATAAAATGAAAGCTGGAATTAATGAAGGCATCCATTTTTATGAAGTTGCTAGCACAATTAATGACTTATGTTTATTTTTAAGCTGACTCAATTTAGCTAACATTAAGTACAGAGCAGTTGTCAGACAATAAATCACTGGGTTATTGGGTCATCCATTTCTACTTGTCATTATTCAGAGATCTTAGAATGTACTCCAAGTGTTTTTTTTTAACTTAAAGGTTTTCCCAACCCACCAAATATTTATTTATTATTTATTTAATTGTCATTTTAGGCCACCTTCCCCTATGAGTGGCAGCCAAAGATTGTCTCAGATCAGCTGCTGAAAATTGGAGACGTTATTATTGCAGCCGTGCCCTGCGAATTCACAACGATGGCAGGACGACGACTCCGAAATCAAATCCGTGCCGCAGCCTCCGCCGCTGGAGGCATCGATACCGAGGTGATCATCGCCGGACTGACCAACATATACACCAGTTACACAGTGACCCCGGAGGAGTACCAGGCGCAGCGTTACGAGGCAGCCTCCACGATCTTCGGGCCCCACACACACTCCATTTACATGGACGTATTCGAGCGACTGACCAAGGCAATGATGCGGAACGAGACCGTGGATGCGGGTCCGAGTCCGCCGTACATGAACGATGTGATGCTATCGCTGAATACCGGAGTGCTCTTCGACGGACACCCCATAAACACGGACTTTGGCTACGTGAAATTGCAGCCCAACAAGGAGTACGGCATTAACGAGACCGTGAAGGTCACCTACATTTCCGGAAATCCGCGAAACAACCTGTTTACCGAGAAAACTTACTTCACCGTGGAGCGCAAGATTAACGAGGATCGCTGGAAGGTGGCCTACACGGATGCCAGTTGGGAGACCAAGTGAGTTTGTGCTGGCTCAATCCAAAAACATAGTAATTAACCTTATGTGTTTTGATTTCAGGATGGTCTGGCATCGAACCAACACGATCCTGGGCTTCAGCGAACTGGACATCTATTGGAACATAAGTCCGCAAACGCTTCCCGGGGAATATCGCATCCGACACTCCGGAGAGTACAAGTACATCCTGGGCGGAAAGTATCCCTATGAGGGTCTCACGCACTCCTTTACGGTCAAAGAGGACTAGGGGACTTGCACCATGGAGTGATCCTATAAATATTCCTGGCCAGACAATTGTCGGGTCCATCAAACGCAAAAACCAACACTGAATCCATGTATTTATTTACCATTTGTAAGTGACGAAGGAAAAGCTTTATTTTTGCTAAACGCGAATAAAAAAGATGCCAAATTTTGTTGAAACTAAGCATTGCGTTTTTCATTTTATCAAATTTTAGCTTCTTAATTTCATTTTCATAGAAAAAAAGTTAGTTTACAAATAAATTAAGCTGTTTGACTATGTGGGTTTTAGTTTGTTTTGCCGATCGGTTGTCTTTAATAATATTCATTTGTATTTAAAAAAAGGCCCTGCTGAAATCACCCTAATTTATAAAGATAATAAATATTAATTTAATATTTTGAATTTCCCGCCAAAACTTCGATCATCAGCTGATTGCATGTTGTTCAACAGAGACTTAACAGAATTAAGCCAATTTAACAACAGCGCCATCTATGTGGCGTTGAGTGGTACTTTAAAGTACGTAGTAAATTCGCTCTCCCCTTAACATAGATGTTGGGAATGATTCAACATTTCTGTTAAAATGAATGGGAATGAAACGGTTTTTGGTTTTTGTTTTCGTTTTTCGCCGTCTGTTCTCACATAGCTGTTTTCGCCGTTTCGCCGTTCGGTCGTGCTGCCTCTGCGCGCTCGTGAAGAGAAACAAATAAAACCTTAGCTATAGTAATAATCCAGGAAAGAGAGGGACCTGCTCCTCGAGACAAAATAAATCAATTCTGAAACCGTAAACTAAAATATCTGAAAGATACGTGTGCTGAGTTCTCCGAGTGTTCTGTTCCCAGTTACAAGTGGAAATGTATCTATAAGATACGAGGTGCGGGCGTGCGATGCAATCGAGGTGTTCCCTAAGAATTGTAAACAAAGAAGGCGGCCGGATTCATTGACATCCATCGAGATCCAGCAACAAGTTCATAGCAAATACTTGGGTAAGTAAAACCAATCCCTCAGATACGATTTCTAGAATTTCTGACGTGTTCCTGTCTTCTTCCGACGTGCACTGATAACAATAATGGGGTCTTTACGGAATGTGGGCCAGCTAAGCTGAATATTCGATTTTGATTAGAGAGAAATGCTGTGAACTGAACTGATTTCGTGTGTACATACATATATGCATTTGTTGTCACCACATGGTTGGCGATTCAATTGACCGCTCGTTGCCCCCACATATTTCCCACTTCCTACTGACGCTCCTCCTCTCTCCGCTGGCGGCGATAAGCGTCTAAATATCTGGACTCGAAAAAGTCTGTGGTCCATAGACATATGTGTTATTTTTACGCCAGTCTGGGTGTGTTCATATAATGGGGGCTGGATGGACTTGGGGGGCAAAAGGAAGGAAGCTGCCGCAGTCACGTAGTCAATTGTCGGCATTTGTTTTGGTTGCGTTTCTTTCTTCAGCCTCATCGCTTTGCTCTCTGTTGTGGTGCTCCTTTCGGCTGGAAATCTATAAAATACAACCCCTAAATGGGAAGGGAACCAGTCCTGGAACTAGTTCGCTCGATGCATTGCCAACTATTTTAAAAAAGATATGTTTTCGGACCCAAAAACTTTTTCTAGGATTAAAAGAATTTCGTAGTTTTTTTCAAACGGCTAAAAGTATTTTAAAAATCTATATTTACAAATACTTTGGAGACTGCATAGAAAAAAGGAACTAGTGCAACGGATGTGATTATAATTTGGTTTAAGAAAAGGATAATTTCCTTTTTAAAGGGAAATACAAGACCACGTTTTGAACAGACAAAAACCTTGCGCTAATAAATGTTTTATGGAACTTCGACGAATTAGAATTATAATTAAATAAAATAAGTATTTTATCAAAAAGCAAACACCTTTTAAATCACATATTATTTTTTCTATTGGAGGTTTTAGTTATGTCCGCAGAGTCGATTACCATTTAAACGTTCTCATTATTATTTTCCCATTAGATTAAAGTACCGCTTTAGGACACTAAATTTCCCTTAATGACAAGTCCCTGTTTCTTATTTCCCCTACTTAATCCGGACACAAACCTTGTTTAGCGACTCCCATTAGTTGATTTTGCTTATCTAATTGGAAACACTTCACCAATTAGAGTCTGGTTTGGATGATTAATGCGTATGCGTATTTTTAAAAACACAATCGGCGAACGGCTTCAATGGCTACAATTAACTTACGACTCAGGTGTGTTAATTTATGATTTTTATAATTTAGCCACGTTCTCGTTCGTTGCTCTCCGCTCGCGTGATTCGGTTTTTGTGCTTAAAAGTATACCCATTCGGTCAGTATTTGTTTGCTAATTAGTCCGGCAATGACAACCTGTTGGCAATAATAGAGATGGATGCGAAATCGAAAGTCTCTGTTCGGAGCAATCCGCATCCAAATCCAGATGTGGAATGCAATGAAAGTGACGGCAAGAAGGCCTACTTCCTTGTCTCGTTTTTTTTTTCCTATTTTTCCCAGCTCATCTTTCGCTTTAATGATGTTCAGCATAGACTTTGAACCGGTTTGATATTGCGATTTCCACCTGCTACGCCGTTTATGCTTACATTTCAAGGTGAATTGTAAAATTTATGTGTGCACGCGCTTCATGACGGCATCTGTCTGGCATTTCCATGGGTTAACAACGGGGCCAACGGGGTGTTAAGGGGGCGGGGGTTGTGCTGTGAACAATTGTCATTCATTACTAATTACCAAACTCGCTGAATGCACTTGAATTACTCTTCCTCAAGTCCCTTTATCCTGTCGAATGAATATTTAATGTGCACTCCGTTTTCCCGGCACAGAAAGAAATTAATAATCCAAAATTAGCACTTATTCAATATATTTAAAGACATAATATATGCTTAGCAATATTAAAGCTTCTTTATTTGGATTACTAAAGCACTTGTCAATAGTGCTTTGGAAGAAAAAATAAATTATATGTATATAATTAAAAATATTTCCCAACAAAGATTAGTTTCCCAGTACACTTACATAATAATTTATTTAAATTATACTACATTTACCATAAATGTACTATTAGTTTGAAAACAAGTTTCTCATGCATAACTGTTTGCTTAATTTCCAAATCCCTCAACAAATTTTAAGGTTTTTCTGATTCTCTTCCATTTGATTTAAGTTTCGAAACGAAAATTGTCTAATTCGCTTAGACTTTTTTAGCAGTGTTTGTTCTGTCTTGGGGTTTTGGGGGGTTGGACAAAGTTGTGGCAATCAAATTAACGCTTATGGAACTGAAAAGTTTATGCTCGGATGTCGTTCGGCTGCGAGCAGAACTTTTGCTAGCAGACAAATCAAATTACCCCCGACTTGGACTTCAGTTCGGGGTCCAATCTCTTGGAGCAACTGCAACATGTGGCCTGAAAACTGCCACGCGCTCTTGGCCAACAGGCCAACTCAATTACACTTAACCAAATTGTTTGCATAAATTGCACTAACTAGGCAGGCAGTCCGAGACCATGATTTTCCCACTCGGAACTATTTTTCCATGTTTATGAACATAAACAGTAACTGCAAAGTGGCGGCGAGACCTCATTCGGTGGTTAGGGCAAAGTTTGTGCTGCTAATGATGATATTAAAGCCAATGATGATGATAAAATGGTTATGGCGAGGCGCGTCTAACGAGGTCCATTAAGTCAGTAAATTAAAGAAAAGCTCGGAATCAAATTACAGTGCCGACGATGAACGATGAAATCGACGATTCGATGCGATTTTAATTATGCATTCGATCGACGAGAAGAGCCACGCAAATTGGCCAAAAATGAATGGGCAAGGGGCCATAAAAGGGGGTTGTTTTCGTTGAGGAAGCCGTGCCCTCAGTGGATTCCGAATGGGCAAATGTCACAGCAGACATGGGAAATGGAGAAGAAGTCGCCGTGTGGAAGGTCAGTTGGCGGGGCTGGGGGCCTGACATTTAGCAGTTTTCAGAGGGAGCAGTTTGCCGACTTCGTGCCACATTAACAGCAACTGGCCCAAAGAGACAATGTGGCCAACAGAGCTCCACAATTTCCACCAACTTGCCACTAAAGCGCAAATGCCATGGCCCAAAGAGCAGCCACAGTGAGAAAAGCCATATTTAATATATTTAAATTAAATATATTCGTAGACCCATATTCAAACCAAAGATAAAGCTGCAAGCACATCTTCTCTAAAAGTCTTAATTATTTAGCCACATCTCTTCATTATTCTCATATAAAAAATTATAGCATTAATTGCTGTTTTATTAGCCTCTTAATAATATTGCATCAGTAATAAAGAAACAATCAATTTAAAGTTAAAAAAGCTCCACCCAAGAATGAATCAAGTTTTGTGCTTAGCTTTATTAATTCATTAAAACTAGTTTCTAAATAATCTCCAAAGAGGAGGTAGAAAAGTTCAAGACAATGCCAAATTGTGATAAATGTTTGGATTAAATATTATTTAACTAGACAAATTAATGCTTGGTTTTTAAACGTTTCAAGTTCCATTTATTTATATCACACAGTTATTAATTTCATGCAATATTAGGAAATAATTAATTGTTGACCCCCAAAACAGAAGAAGTGTTCCAATGAAACATTTTGCATTCACAATATTTAGTCAGTTTTTTTTAAGCGTAAAAGATAAATATTTATAGAATTAAATATGCTTTAACTAAGATTAAGTCGAACGTCATTAGGAAAACATGTTTTAAAATAACGTCTTATTTAAATAACAAGAATGCGCAAGCTTACATTCAAATGCGGCTTAAATGATTCGTTATTCGTCTCAAAATGTGCCACTTCTTGTCAGTTACTAGTATTTTTCTCTGTGTATGTTAAGTTCGGTGTACAGTTATGGTTTCGCTTTTGGTGGCTCATAAATGTCAGTGGTGCTACTGGGCTACTGGTGGATAACTTATGGCTTTGGCCCCGTCCATCTCGGAGTCGCTTCAGCAGCTTCCTCGACTTCTCCGCTCATAAAATTGATGGACGACATTGTGGAGGCCACGACGGGCAGACCAACCACCTGCCAGTCGGCCTTGCCAATGTTGGCACCGTTGCCAACACCCATCCACCCACTCAGGTGGGGGAGTACCCGTAGCACTTGCACCTGCATAATTATGTCGTGTCTGCTCAAATTGTCCCGTTGCATTTTATAGAATTGTTGCCGTTTGCTGACAGTTTCATTTGAGCGAAAGTGACACAGATCTGTGGGAAAATGGTGTGCAGCTCCCCAGGAAACAGGCGAATATGCTGGTTTCGATAAGCGAGGACCTTTTCTGTGGGACAGGTGGCACAGTAAAATGTCCCCGATGTGGACAAATGCTCTGACAACTGGGTGACAGTGATAAGAAGGGTACTAATTTCATACCTTAAAAGGGTGTCGAATTCCAGTAATTTAATAGAATGCTTTCAGAACATTCTAAGAAGTCATAACCTCTTTATCAATAATGAAAAACTAAAATCTTAAAGGTATTTAAAGACGCATTTCGTTAAAAATAATAAATAAATAAAGATAAACGTTAAATTGCAAAGGATACCTGGTTATAATTTGTTTTAAGTAATCTTTGAGATCAAATATACCAAGCGTATTTCGTGTACGTATATTTTTGCTAAGAATCAGTTCTTTCATTTAATATGAGTTATCAGATGAATCTGATATAATCAACAAATATTATAATAAAAAATAATTAAAGTAAGAAGATTTTAAACAGAAACATCACTGCCTTAAGTCGATATAATATAGCCATACCAGTTTGCCATTTGACACAAGGCAACAAGGACACATTTTTTTTGCCAGATAGGAAATAGTTGCTGACTGGCCAGATGCGATGCGAGTAATGCTAGTTTGCTGTCACCCGGCATAAAAGTATCTGCGTATCTGTATCCGTGGAGTAGTCAACCATTCCATTTCCATTTCCATTGCCATTTCCATCTCCATTTTCATTTCGCTCGCCGCTTTTCGCAGTCAGTCAGTGGGTCGCTCAATGAGCTTAGTCAGCGTTTTGCACACAAAATATTTCATAACTTAATTGTTGCCGGGCGAGTGATAACACATTTTGTCGAACTAAAACTGACTCCAAATTCATTTTTATTTTTATTTTCATTTTCTCCCTTACTTTTCTTCGGAAAAGTGCAGTGAAATCATAAAAAAAAGTAAACAAATGTTGGCGAATTGCATAAGGCACAGAATACACGCAAGCCAAAAATTTGCCGAGCTAGCTTTTCTGTTGCGTTTTTTTTTGTTGTTGTTGTTGCCTTCGCTGCCTCTCTGGGGGCGGACTGCGAAATAGAGGCGTGGTCGGTGTGGAAAATGCAATGCGGTGATGACGAAAGTCCATTTTATTACACCGCAATTCGCGGCACAAGAAGTGCAAAAAGTGTTGATGATGAAGCGTGAATCGAAATTGATTGGGAGATTAGTTTACCCAACTAACCAGAAAAGAAGATGTGATGAAAGTGTAGGAAAAGCAACATCTTGGCTGGATTTGAAATCGAATTATCCCCAGCCAGGCATTAATTTCCGTAACCATATCAACTTTCTGCTCTTTTCCACTCGACTGCAGTTTGTAATTTGCTTGCAATTAGTTTTGCGTAAATCCAATTTCAGCTTTGTCCAAAGTATTTCCTCTGAAACTTTCTTAACGCGACTTCAACCGCAGTCGTAATGGTAATTAAAGCTGCCTGACATTTTACAGTCATTTATCCCTGCTCACCGTTAAATATTGATAATTTTGTATATTCTGAATATGCGGTTCATTTGTATTCCACTCTGACTTTATTGCCCCATCAGTTTGATCGACCAGAAATGTGAGTAATCCCGTGTTGAGCGTTTCACACAACTTGGCAGGTGCTTCTGCACAAACAATATATATGTAGATTGTTTTATTACCTTTTTTTGTTTGCCTCGATAAGTAGTACATAACATAAGCTCGATCGACACTCGTAAATTGTATATTTTATTGAATGGAATTGAATTTAATGTCCCCTCATTCAAACAGTTGTTTTAGCATAGTCATAAAGATGTTATATTTAATACGGCCAAATTATCGCAAATACGCTGACAGTTATAGTTAAGATTACTTCGAAAGCCGACACAATATGACAACCGTCTTAATCCTGCTTAAATTGAGGTTTGCTTTTAAGTTTTAAGTATCTAGTACTTATAAGTTTCTTTAGCGAAAACAAAATGGCAAATTTTGTTAGCAAGAATTAATATAACTATGCATTTTGAGTTTATGTTAATAAGGGAGTGTGTCAAACAGTTTTTGTAGTTGTTCCACAAGAAGTAAAATGTTCATTACTTGGTAATGCCCACTCATAATCAAAAAACGCACCTTTTTTTAGCCATTTCTGCATGGGTGGTCGCTTCTTCCGGCTGTTTTAAATTCTTTGACTTAAATTGTGCAACTTATTGCAGCAAACATTGCCTCAAATTCTTTCGACTGCCTCTGTTGCACTGGAATTCTTGCAAATTAAAGCAAATCATTTGGTCCACACTACAACATATATGTGGAGAGCAAAGTTCGCTGAACTTGTCGAAAGCAGAAATTCCTCATCGGCACGAACTGCAGATGGATGTCAGTGGATTGAATGGGGGTTCTCTGGATGAAATAATATTTGCATTTCAATAAGTTTGATTGTGTAACGCGGATTGATGACCAGGGGATTGGGAGTACCGTTAAAGGTTTTGGTCATCATCACTCACAATGAATGGTTTCTGCTGCAGCGACGCGTATCTGTGAGATACATTTGCATATATAACGGAGTTCTTTGAACCCCAATTAATTAGCCGTAGAGATGCAGGGCCAAAATAAGACCGAAATACAGTATCTAGCATCAGGAACATCGGTCTAAAACTGGAAATCTAAATGGAATTGAATGACCGGGTCGTAAACTTTAATGGCTGTTGCCCTCGTTCTGATCACAGTTTCAAAACTCCCCAACTAGAAATGGAAATCATAGAACAAAACCGGTCTGGGCGAGATTATTTAATATTTGCTGACAGGCGGGTCCGCTTTTAACACATGTCAGCTGACATAAATCGCCTTTGGCTCGGATCATCTATAATTCCGGCCAGAAGTGGCCGAGAGTGTTGGCCAAAATGCCGCATATTAATAACAGATCTTATCTTCCGAGTGAGTGATTAATGTGAGCAATTACCTGCTCAAGTACGATTCTGTCTTGACTTTGCCGAATTAATTACTGCTGATTAATTATTCAACACTCACTCCCTTGAAGGGCATACATCAGCATCACACGTAATTTGTCCTTGTGGTTTTTTGGAGGACTTTTCGGGCGGCCAACCATTGCAAACAAACCTCTTCAATATGCAAATCGAGTGCCAGCTCTCGTTTAACTTAAAGATGCGAATTAACAGCGAGCGGCTAATTAATATCAATTAAAATTTATTGGCACGCTAACTAAGCCGCAATCTATGTACTCCCGCCTCGAAAAACGGAACTGGAAACAAACTTGAATATTCGCTGTTCCTGTCAGGTGAGACTGATGGCGGTACATTGGCTAAAACAAACTCGGAGTATAGCGACATGTATGAAACTTGATACATCACTCGATGGAAAGGCTAAAGGCGGTTTCCAAAGGTGAATTTACATGTGATTAAGTGCTTGAACGGGTTGGTTTATAGCATATTTACTTGTCAATATTTTATGGGACTTAACAAATTAATTATCTTAATGATTGCTGTTCAAATAGCCAAACGCACTTAAAAAAAAAAGAAAAAGATGAAAAAACTTAATATCAAGCTGACTTAGTATCTTCCATCAACAATTTGGTAATTTAATTTAGATCTATTATTTTTTATGATTATTAATGAAGTACCTACTTTGTAGCTTCTTTGAAAATCACAATTTATTAAATTTTTAATAGAGTCACTTGACTCAATTTGCAGTTTTACTTATGACATGTAAACAAGTAAAATAAGATTTAAAAGCTAATTGTTGTAAATTCTTTTTAAGCAACTTAAATTGCTACTTAATAAATTGCAAGTCAAAATATATTTGCATTGTAGCAAGTCAAAGCTTCTTATATTTTTTGTGCTGCAAAGTAAGTAAGTAGGCATCCGAAATTGTGAATTTTCCTTGTGCCACTTCTGACTGCGATAAATTGTAGTAATGGAAATATTCTAGATGCAATAAGTGCAGCATATAAATTGCAAATTGCTTCTGGCAAAGGAAATACTGGCACTTAAAGAGCATCTCCCCGTTCAGTGGAGTGCCATCGAAAGTATCTGGACCCGTTTTATTGTCGTCAGCGCGTTGGGAGGGCAGTAAACCAATCGCCATAAAACAATTCGTTCGATGGCAGGTCAAATTAAAAAACGCTCATTAAAATAAATTGCCAACTGCCCAAACTCAAGCAACAGCTGCCTTCTTTTCGTACAAAAATTCTGTGTTGCGGCTAGGTCGGTAGCGATATTAATCAATAACAAAGTCGATTTCGAGTTCAGTGAGCTTAGCGCTTCTACTTTACACATGGCCGGAGATTTAAGGCCAAAAATCGATGGCTCAATACTCCTACCAATCTCCCATTCTATATTTTTGTAACACGTTTTAAGTTACTATATATAATTGCAGACTTTAAAATGGCAGCGGACTGGCGATTAATGTGCCTGCTAGGAATCCTGCTTTTTGTGGGTGTGCCTGTAAATGGGGAGGTCTACACAGCTTTGGCTGAGATGGAGGAACTTCTTGAGACTGAATCCGTACTGATTACCAACCTGGAGGGCTATATTCGAGTGCAGGAGAACAAGCTGAATTTCCTCAAAAAGTGAGTATGCGTTACATGAACTGACTGACGTTAATTGGTATTATATAGCATACAAACTAATTGGGAAACCATACTATTAAAAAGTTGCATAAACAGTAAATAAACTAAGCTTGCATCAAAATTTATGAAATCCCACAGCCCAAAACATAATTAAATTGGAAAATGAACAACCAAATTTTTTGTTATTGCCTATACTTATTTTGTAATTGACCTATTGAGAGTGGTTAATATTTTTCCCATTTGCCAATAGCAAAAAAAAAACACAAATTCAATTACTAATTAGTTGCTTTGTTTACCAGTAGGCAGCAAAACATTCCCTTTCTATTTAATTGTCTCTAATGAATGTGGCCTTTCAATTTGAAACTTATTATTACCCTTAAATAGTTACCTTTTAATATAGTAAATTCAAAGCAGCAGCGTAATTATGCTGAAATAGTTGAAGAGGTGCATCATTTAAATTTGTATTTATATTCAGGGTGAGTGAATAGAGCTAACTGAGTGATTATAAGTATTAATTGAAATATAAAATTTCGTAAGCAGCAGGCATAATTGTGAGGAAAAGTGCACTTCTATGTATTATATGTGACGTGGTGGTTGATACACAATTGTTTTTTTTACATTTTCTACAATTTGTGTTTATTATAGGAGCATGCTGAGATAATGAACAACTCTTGTATTTAAATGTATTATTATGTTTTGGTCAAATAGAAAGGGCTTACTTAAGACTTACTATTCAAGTTTAACATTTTACAATCGTAAGTTTAAGTATAAAAAGCAGCATGCCATATTATAAAAACGTTCGAAAGGTGTTCCAATTAGAAGTATTTTCACAGTCACGGTGAATTTAAAGAGTTTACTTTGTATGGAAAGACTTTTGCTTGTGAACATAATAAAAACATTTTAAAATAGTCATTTTTATATTAAAAGCAGCAGGCATAATTATGATGAAATATGAGGAAAGCTTTTCCTCGGAAAATTATTAGGGGATTAATTGAGATTTAATTTTCCTTCACCTAATTTATACTTTTAAAAGTTGAATTTCAATATATTTAGAAATGCAGTCCTAATAGTGCTGCAAGATCTAAAACGTTGTTTAAATCAGTGAATGGATAGGGAAAAATAAAGCCTTCATTCTACTTTAATTTAAAGGTCTGAGTTATTTATTTTGAATCTTATGGGGGAACTACAAGCCCTGGATCTGCTAAAGATGTTTAGCATAAATAGTTCTTATGCAAATGGTGCCAAGATGTTGCTAGTTGGTAGATGGGGGACTACAAATGAGGTTCAGGTAGCCGCCTGCATTCTGGTAATTACTTTTGCCACGTGCGAAGGGGCAGCTGTTGCACGTAGCACCTATCCACCACTATGTGTAGTTGTACTATATCTGCATTTGTATCTGTATCTGTAGCTGAGGTGGCGCCCCTTACACACATGACAGCAGATACATATCTTTTGCTTATATACGAAGGGGATCTATGTACTATATACTATATACTATATACTAAATGTGTGGCAACTGGTAGCGGAAATAATATGGGGGAGAGGAATGGAATGGAAAGGAGGGAAGAGGAGGGGAGAGGAGAGGTGCAGGATGCGGTGAGACAACTCCCCTAATCAAATAATGCCAGTCGCATTCAGGATCTATCTTGTGCCGCTGTTTCTGGTTCTGTCTCTGGTTCTGTTTTTGTTTTTGTACTGTTTCTGCACTTCTACCTTGGCTTTGTCACAACAAAGGACGAGACAGGATCCTCGCAAACAGCTGACAGCTGTGTGCCTCCTGTCTCAGTCTCTGTCCCTACTTCCAAATGCGATATCCTTGTGCGCTGTCATTGCCCTGCCTTTGAGTATCCTTCGGATGCAGCAGACTCTTCATCTCCATCCCACTCATCATCTGCATGTGTCGCGTGCCGTCTGCCGCTTAAATTTGCCCACTGCCCAGCTGCTGTTGGTGCCTCCAGTTTCTGGCTAATCCGCTTGCCAGTTGCCCCCTGACTGCTCTGATTTGCTGTTGGCTTTTGGTCAAAAGGCAATTAAATTTGGCCACCACAGCGGGGCAAAGGACATCCAATCTGCGGGGCTGAGAGGCTTTCACTATGCATGTGGGAGATCCGGAATCGGGATCCACGTATATAACGCATTACTCCGCTTTTCTCTGGCAACCAAATTGTAACGGTCGCTTGGGCAGCAAAAAGTAGGGGAGTGGCTGCCTTTAGGGAGGGTTTTCGGTCCTCATAAACAACCAAGTTAAACAAGTATGAATTTAAATGGGAAGGGATCGACAATAAAATACCCAGCGATTTAATTCAAAAAGTCAAATGACAAAAGACAGCAAAAACAAAAAGTAAAACAATTACTTCTTTTAAGCCTTTAATGCCTATGAAGCTTATTTACTATTGAAATCATCTTAAATGTGATTTAAGTCGGTGATTTTAGTTATTCAGGTGCCTAATTTTACTTTTGCTTTCCCAAGACAAAAATATGAAACAGAACAATCAAAACAGCAAACACTCTAAAAGTTTATTATTTAATTTTTTCTCTGAAAGAAGTTGAATCAAAATATGAATGAAAAACTAGAAATGCTTTGGACTTTGCAAGCTCTAGTTTATGACTTGACACATTTATGGCAAGAATATGTACATATTAAATTAAATTGTTCTCTAAAGCTAAGCATTTCAAGTTTATTTGATGTGATGCAAGCGTTTTTAAACAAAAACTTTTTAGCTAAACAAATAATATTGAAAGTTTTTAAAGATAGACCTACAAATAAATATTTTTAGCTAATTATGCATAAAATTAAGCAACTTGTTCTAATGAATGCTAGAAAAAAATCATATTAGGTTGATATTGTCATATTTCTGGTGGCGACAGTGTGCTGATATGATCTAGTCTGCACTGGCGAACACATAATCTTATGTGGACTTAAATATCACTAAACAGCACACATCATATCCTACCCTAACTTTGCTTCTAAGTGGCATCGAAACGGAATTAAAGCCACGAGGGAGCGTTATGAGTTGGTAAATAAGAATTAAAAACGCTGATAAAGCGCACCGAATGAAACGCCGGCTGCTCCTGCAATTCGCCAGGGGTTTTTAGGTTTTTAGTTTTGGTCCCAGTTGAAATGTCTCAGTTGGCAGTGTATTTCAACCCTCATTTCGAAGGTTGATCAGGAGCAGATGTTTCTGTGCGTTCCGTGTTTCTGTGTCTCTGTTGTACTGGCTTAATGGAACGCGCCAAACACAGTCGGTCATTGTACGGGTGTCTTATGTACAAGTAAATGGTGTTTGTGTTTTATGGGGTTGGGGTATCGCGGCGCAGCACGATCCACTCGACTGCGCGCCGGCGCAGGAAGTGGAGGAAGTTGAGGAGCTGCCGGCTGGAACGACTCTTCAGATCAGTTGAGTCGCAGTTGCCGAGGCGAGCGGATCGCAGATCTTGAAAGCGCAGAACAGTGAAAAGTGTTTGGGAAAACCCAAAGAACACCCAAAGAACACCCCTCAAAGGTTGTGAAATAACCGCCAGTACAGTACACAGTGCCAACATGTCGCAGCATAACTATACGAACCCGGCATTTTGCCAAAACAGCGAGTTTTATCCGGTGCCCAGCAGCAACAGCTCTTCGCGAGTGGAGTCCATCTACAATCGGAGTCTTCAGATGAATTTCGGGGCAGCTGCTCCGCGTTCTGGACATGCCACGCCCACTCGAGATCCCCGCGAAGGTCCCCTGCGTATGCAGCGTAGCATGTCCACGCGTTCGGTGACGCGGAAACAACATCAGCAGCAGCAACATCAGCAGCAGCAACAGCAGCAGCAGCAACATCAGCAGCAGCAACAGCAGCAGCAGCAACATCAGGCCAAACAGCAGCAATATCAGCCGAATCAGCAGCCATCTTCTAGTGGCCGCTATGCTTTGGTTCCTCTGGAGGAACTGAACAGCAGTAGGGCCAGCAGATATGCCATAGTTCCTGGCCAGGCTGCCCAGAGATTGGCCAGATCGCAGGATAACCTGGATCGCTACAGTTCCCGGCATGGCTTGCATGAGGAAGAGGAGCCGCACTCCTTCCACGAAGAACCCCATCAGGAGACCCAGTTTGCCAGCTTGCCGCCCACATTGAATCTGCCACCCAAGCCCAGGAGCCATACTAATAATAATAATAGCAACAACCCGAATGCCAATCAAACGAAGATAAAGCATGCCTTTAGCAGTGATTTCGGCAGCAAGACCTTTCTGATTGTGGATAAGAATAGCAACCAGCGGTACCAGATGGTGCCCACCGCCGAGGATGAGGAACTGGTGGACGAGAACCAGGAGATCATACAGATGCACAACGGCAGGGCCCATCGCTATGCCATGGTGCCCACGGAAGCGGATGAGGATGATGACTTGGAGCAGGACCAGCAGGATCAGCAGGATCAGCAGGAAACGTGCCTCAGCAACATGGAGTTGAGTCAGCAATATGCGGCCAGAACTTCAACGCCGCAGCAGAGGAATGCAGCTGCTGCCACGAGGGCGCTGCATGAGCTGCTGACCACGCCCAGGAAAATGCAGCCGCCTCCGAGATTGGCCCACTCCACGCCCCGCAATGCCGCCCATCATGAGCAGTTGCAGATGGAGCGTAGACTGGAGATCTACAAGAGCCAGCAGATCTACCAAAGTCAGCAGGTTGCACCTGCTTTGCCCCTCCGACCGAACCGACTTTCCCCCCAGAGACTCCACTACGAAACGGTGAAGCCGCTGCCCATGCAGATGGCCGATCGCTCGATGGCCGTGATCAGTCCCCGGGTTCAGGAGCTGGAGCAGGAGCACGACCGAGAACAGGACATGAGCAGCATCCAGGGAAAGGGAAAGGACAAAGACTCCTACCCGCAGAAAATGGCCAATGCCACCATCACCTTGGCCATCGTCTCCCTGATGCTCGTATTGGGCAGCACCACCAATGCCGGACTCATCATCTACATGATATCACGAGTAAGTACCTAAACATATTTTTTAATTCGCTCTAAAACTATGGAAATTATCATTGAAATATCTTTAAAATATGTAAGATTGTGTTCTAACTCGAAGTTGGCTCTAAACTTTTACTTTACAACCTTACAAAAAGTTACCTTTTTAAAAAATTTAAATAACAGTCTTTAAGTGTTAAACTTAAACGAGTTTTTTTTTTAATTTTAACTAAAAGTATTTCAATTAAAATTTGTTTTTTATAAAAATATTTTATTAAAATTCAAACAATTAAAAACCTTAAACTCAATACAACATTTTTTTAACAGCCCGACCTTTTGTATTTAAAAATACACCAAGAAAATAATTTAATAGTTTTCAAAATATTCAGTTTGATTTTAAGTACTTATTTATTATGTGAACACATTTTAATGACCTGTTTTTCTCTTCTTCAGCTTGGTAAATCCTTTTACCTGCAGTTTGGCCTGGTGTCCTCCTTTTGTGGAATGGGTCTTGGCTTCCTGGGATTCAAATCGCGCCAGTGTGACTGGTTGCCGAACCGGAGCTATAGTTCCGGATATGTTCTGGTGACCGTGTTTTGCCTCTTCAAGTCCTGCGGTCTGCTAGTGATTCTGGTTGTGGATCCCTTCCCCGGTTTTCCTGTCCACGATGTGACCACCGGAATTATCCTAGGACTCTCCACCTTCACCATGTTCTTCATCGGATTGGGAGTGATGGGAAGTCTCTGGTGCCACCGACCGCCGCCGGATAACCGCGTCAATGTGGTGTAATCCAAATATAGTAGTTAACTTTCGCTTTTAGTCTCTAATTAGTTGTACATCATCCACTTCGACATCAAGAACTTGACACACCGAACGGCTAAAAGACCAAAAACCATGCATTAGATTTATAATCAGAGGAAGATCATCATCCCCCAAAACGACTGTATATAATAAGTGGGTTGTACTTATTGCTAGATCATAGTTTGTTTAACTTATTGTTCACCCTTAGAATAAGTGTGTTTCGGTATAAGAATAAAATAAAGGCACTTCAATACCAACTTGTATGAATTTTTTCTAAAGGGAAATGTTAAAAGCATAAGTCAACGCTATCAGCAAAAACTTTTTTCTTAGGATGTAAACTCAATACATCTTTAAGTGGAACACTAGGCAAACATTGCAACTTTCTCTACTTTAACTTATTGTTTTTTGCATTTACTTATTGATAAGCATAAAAGTTACGCCGTCTTGTTTGAGCTGAAGCTTATTTTTGCCGCAGGACTTGTGATGTTCTTTCTGGCCAAGTTCAAGCTTCAGCTTTCCCTGCCACGAGTTGTAATGCAATTTGCCTGCTCGCAAGAAGCTATTAGCAAACTTTCTTGTAACTTTTTGCCTCTGCCTTTTAATTCCAGTAAAATGGACGAGTACCAGCGGGAACACTCAGATGCCTCCAGTGACATTACGGCCTATGTATCCAACCCAATTAATGCCTATTTGCTGACCAAACGGCTGACCACCGATTGGCGCCAGGTGGAGAACCTCATGGAGCACGATGTGGGCACGGACTTTCTGCAGAACATAACTCAGTATCGCAGCGTTCTGAAGTTTCCCTCCGACGAGGATCTCAATGGAGCGGCGGTGGCCTTGCTCCGCCTGCAGGACACCTATCAACTGGACACATCAAGTGTGGCAAGGGGTAAACTCAATGGGATTCAGTACAGGTGCGTTTCAATTAGCTTAGATCGTTTAAGCCATGCCAAATACTGTTCTTTATATAAAATAATTGCAAATACCAAACAATAAACAACTTCGAATGGCTAAGTCCCTGGCATTTCACCTGACCAACTTATTCTCCCACAGCACGGAAATGTCCTCGGACGACTGTTTTGAGCTGGGCAGACAGTCGTACGTGAACCACGACTACTACCACACGGTGCTCTGGATGAACGAGGCGATGGCCCGAATGCTGGAGGAGCCGACCAACCACACCCAGAGTTTCACCAAGGCCGACATCCTCGAGTACCTGGCCTTCTCCACCTACAAGGAGGGTGAGTGCACTGGCCATTTTTTGTTTTATTTATCTGCTTGGTTGCACTTGCAAAAATCACTGGTATTTGAATGAGTGTAAAAGATGGAACACCCTTTAAGAAGTTAAGAACAGGACAGATCCGGTCGGCAAAAAAACAAATGCTAAATGCAGCGGTATCCTTGTGAGTTAATTAGATTAAATAATTAAATCCATTCCAATTCAAAAATATTGCTTTACTTAAAATCACAAAAAGACGGAAAGTTTGTAAATTATTGTAATATTTTTTATTTGCCATTGTTTTGCATCTTTGAAAAGCAATCGCCAAATTAAAAGCATTTTTATTTGCTTTCCAAGAACATGAATATATATTTTCCATAACTAAATGAGCATAAGCTTGCTCAATAAATTATAAGCTACAATTTCACAAGAGGTATTGAGGCATACTGAAACAAGATATTGTCCTTAAATTTCGGTAATTAAATTCTCAGAGTGTGTTTGCTGTCCCATCGCGTTGTTGTCCTATCTCGTTTGCATGGAACTTTCGAGGTCCATTTAGCTGCAGGAAATTGCACTCCGTCCCCGGCCACTTGCCTTCTGCCAGTTCCGCTGGCTCTTAGGGTGCTCCATTAAGTGCGAGAAAGTGTTGGCCATCTGCAGGCAGTGCGACAATGTGGTGGCCAAGAGGAGCAATCACGTAGACTCAGCCAGGATGGGCAAGGTACGTCCTTGTGCCGTGTGCTTTATTAACGTCTTATTACCCCGTTAAGCGTCGCCATCCGTTGATGAAAGTGTAGTGTCTGTCTTAAGTGGTGGCTCTTTAATTCTAGGAGACTCTGGCTCAAAACACAATTTATGGGTGTGCCCCAGGGGGCGTGGCAGGAAGTGCCGCCATATTGTGTTGAGGAACGACACCAAAAAAGAAAAAAAAAACACAAATGGGTCCGCCCTCGAGGCAAGTGACAGGCTTTCTGTCAGCCCACCACTCAGATCCTGCCTCCTTTATCCGCACACTCATGCAAATTTAAATTCCTGTCGCCGACAGGACCTCAAAAGTTGAGCTCCCGAGGTTGAAGGCTGCAGGTTAAAGCCAGAGTCCTTAGCAAACTGGCGGACAAACTTATTACTGGGGGATAGGGATAAATGACTGGCTGGACCTGGACGCAAATGAATAAATAAGTGCACAGCCTGCAAACTCTGGCAACAATCCAATCGACTTTAAGGTCTCGGGTCTCTGGAAGTTCGAGGTCAGGCGACAAAACTTTCAAAGAAACTGTGGCATACTTTCGGGCGGAGCCATGTTTACTGAGTGGGAACTTGGGCCCTGATGAATTAATTGTGCGGTTCGCTTAAGTGCTAAACTCTTGGGCTTAAATAAGTATTTCACTAAGGTGCTGCTTATATATTCATGTTATTAAAGGTCACTCAATGGTCGGCTGGCTTTGATGTTTTTTAGACTAGTAGATGTAGAGTTTATATTAAATTATTCTGATTCGCTTTAAAGAAGAACGTTAAAGAACATTGTTTTCCAAACCGAAATTAAGGCCTTCATTTTTAATAACCTAAGGGAAGAAGCTTTGATAAACAATTTACTAAATTAAAACTTACGCAGCAGTTAAGATTTTATCGAGCTGTACTGAAAAGATCAAAAAACTTAGAAAAGACTATTAAACGATATGAAAGTAAGGAAATGTATAATAATAAAATAATAATAAATAACAAAATAATAAAATAAGTTAATCTAAGGATTTTATTGACCTCTCTTTTTTAGGCAATATTGAGAGTGCCCTGACCATGACCAACGAGCTACTCCAACTTCTGCCACATCACGAGCGGGCCAATGGAAACAAGCGTTTCTATGAAAAGGAGATTGCTAGCCAGCTGCAGTTGAAGAAGATGAAGGGTGACGACGGCACCGACGAGATGCCCATGTCCGATTTGGTAAGATAATGGGTAAAAAATCAAAAATCTCTCAATACTTGATAACCCATTTGCAGCCCGTGGCCAAAAGTGACCCTTCTGTTTTCGATATGACTGAACGCAGGGCCTACGAAATGTTATGCCGGGGCGAACTGAAACCATCTCCGTCGGAATTAAGGCCACTACGATGTCGTTATGTCACCAACAATGTGCCCTTCTTGCGATTGGGCCCCTTGAAACTGGAGGAGGCCCACATGGACCCCTATTTGGTTATCTATCACGATGCCATGTACGACAGCGAAATCGAACTGATCAAGCGGATGGCACGGCCCCGATTCCGCAGGGCTACGGTCCAAAATTCCGTAACCGGAGCCCTGGAGACGGCCAACTACAGGATCAGCAAGTCCGCTTGGCTGAAAACGCAGGAGGATCGGGTGATTGAGACCGTGGTTCAGCGCACCGAGGATATGACCGGTTTGGACATGGAGTCGGCCGAGGAGTTGCAGGTCGTTAACTACGGCATTGGAGGTCATTACGAGCCGCACTTTGACTTTGCCAGGGTGGGTATTTGACCCAGGAATTATCCAATTATCCAACGTTACCATTTTGCCCCACTACTATTTTTAGAAAGAAGAGCAACGCGCCTTTGAGGGTCTTAATCTGGGCAACCGCATTGCCACCGTTTTATTCTACGTAAGTTGATTTTAATAGAATAATAATTTTCCGTGTTCTTATGTCCTACACAATTTTCTGTGCAGCTTACAAAATTCTCTTTATTTGCACAAGCCAACAGAATCATTAGTAGGGCTTTTATTTATAAATAGAGATGCGTAGGTTGCAATTCCATGGAATTCCATTCCTCTGCAAGCTGTGAATGCAAAATGGTAGAAACACAGATACAAGAAGCAAAGCATTCTTGGAAATGTGGCTTGCCGTTGTCTATAGGATCCTTTCTTGTTGGCCAAGTTATTGTTAGACAATAAGCTTGTTAGTTTAAAACTCCATTTATTATCTGTTTAATTGAATCTTTGTTTTAATTAAATAATATAATTGTTAAATCTATTGATTGTCTTTTAATTTTCCATTCCAATAGATGAGCGATGTGAAGCAGGGCGGAGCCACGGTTTTTACTTCCCTTCATACAGCTATATTTCCCAAAAAGGGTACGGCTGCCTTTTGGATGAATTTGCATCGAGATGGAGAAGGCGACGTAAGGACTCGTCATGCAGCGTGTCCTGTACTAACGGGCACCAAGTGGGGTGAGTCCTTCAAAAACTTATTAGGTTTTAACAACATGTATTAACTTAAATCCACCTGAAACAGTGTCCAACAAGTGGATCCACGAACGGGGACAGGAGTTCCGCAGACCCTGCTCCTTGGACGAGGACCACGGCGAGTTCGCCATCTAAACTGGAGTCTAGTTAGTGAATGCAACGAATCTTAACAGCGGAATCTCATCTTTCGCCATTGGCCATCGACTTCCTATTGTAAATAAAGCATTCAGCCCGACTAAGGTCGCATCTGTTCCACTTATCGGTTCTACATGTGGAGCCACTTCTACCTAGCTATATATCTTAGAGCCGTATGGAATTTATCTACTTTTGTATATTTGCCTAGTTTAAGTAGTAGAAAAAATTGAAATAAAATCTGAATTTAAAAGCAAAATAAGGAATTTTGAATATGGTATGCGGAATTACAATTGCACTAAATACTTAAACGACCTTCTAAAATCTATCTGCTGCAAGTACCTACTTATCAACTTTAAATTGCGCAAAAGTGGCGCTGAATCGAATTGAAATTGAAGCGTCGACAGGGAGGCACTCTGATGTTCGATTAGTGGTTGGCGATCCATCAGCCGGAGGGCTCATCCATCAAGCGTGGTAAGTGGAGTCCTGCTGCATCAACTGTGAGCCAATTCGAATGTTTGAGGGTGTGCGTGACTGTGCATCTGTGTGTTTGCCCGGTTGAGTGGATACAAATCGGTTTATCCTTTCTGCACTCGCCGCACTGCGTTGCATACTTTGCGGCGCCCGGAGAAATTCAATCGAATTTGGCCTGAAATGCGAAAAGAGCAGGTGATAGGTGACTAATATCCAGGAAAATTGCACTCGACAGAGCCATAGAGCAGGGATATATAGGAAATATTTAAATATATTTTTATATAGAACAAATTTTATATGAACAGGTTAACATGTAGAGGAAAAAGTGAATATCTTTGGCTAATTGTCTTGCATTAATTCTCGGAGCGATATTTCTGTAAAACTTTTAATATACTATACAGGAAATGGTCGAAATAAAATGTATAGTAAACTTTACTTACCATAGTAATAATATCTGAAAGTATTGAATGAAATCTGCTATCTGCTCCGGATGACCAAGTTCTATACTTTTTTTTAGTAGAAAATTATTATCAGCGGAGATACACATTTATTTATGGTGACTCTCAGCTGATACGCCAGTACATTTGTAATCATAACGCGCAGTTATTTTAGGTGCATTAAATTTAATCGACTAGATTTAAATCTCTAGCTGTTTGATAGAAATCTATTGTACAAAATATTAATAAAAATTAAGTATTTATTGGAACTTATATACTATTAAAACGAAATAGAAGGTCAGGTTTAAAGACAACAGGATACTCAGTTAATTCAAGCTTACACAAAAAATTGTTAACCAAAACAGACCGGTCTAGATTATCATTTATAGTAGTAATCTTGGCAGCTGATTAACTTTCATTCATAAATTGTTGGACATTCCAGAAAAGAGTATGATTTGAATCGACGAAACTTATCAGTAATTTCAAATACTATTTATGTAGGCTACGTGCTGAGGAGGCAACAAATTAAACTGATAATCGGTAACATAAATTTACTTTTCTTATGACAAATTTAATAATATATCAATCTTTGTTTAAGTATATACGTCTAACATTCACAGAAATGTATCACAGTTCTGTTATACGGAATCCATAAAGATTTATTTATAATTTAACTTAAGTTATTTAAGTTATTTTGTCTTTCAAATGTGGACCATGATGTGCCATTTATTTGTTACACACGTTTTATAAGGTCATTTTAAGTATCATAAATAAATAATCGGTTTGGCGCTAGGATCTTCACCCCAAAGTTTTTTTTTACTCGAAAATTCAACATATAAAGGAGATGGTCCACTGCCCTTAACTGAAATTTACTTCAATTAAAAGAAAGAATTTATTCATGTACTTGAAACTTTTATTGAAAACACCCATTAAAACATGTGAAAACACTGAACTCTTAGTAGGCGATGCCGGTGTTGTCGCGGATCCAGTCCAGGTACCCGGTGACGCGGGTGAAGACGGCGGGAGCTCCGGACTGGCAGCCGGCGGCGGAGACGAAGGAGGTCACTCCGACCAGGCGGTTGCCCTCGTGTGTGACCAGGGGACCACCGGAGTCGCCTCCGCAGGTGGACTTGCCTCCGGCGGTGTTGATGCAGATCATGAATTCGTGCAGGGACCAGGTGCGGCTGCAGTCGCCCTGGGACATGATCTGGACATCGATGGCCTGGAGCCAGTCGGGCAGTGGGCTGCCGTCGTAGGTGCCGCCCCATCCGGAGGCCACGGCCCACCAGCCGGCGTAGTCCTGGTAGCGGTCGTTGTAGCTGGGCAGCTCCACCTTGTTGACCAGGTGCCAGAAGTCGACGTGCGGGGTGCGGATCAGGGAGATGTCGTTGTGCAGGTTGCCGCTGTTGTAGTGGTGGTGCTGGACGAAGTTACCGCTGCCCACCCAGTGGGTGTACTGGGGCTGGGTGCGGATGCTGGCTCCGTAGTGGATGGTCACTCCGCCGGCTCCGTTGGTGCAGTGAGCAGCCGTCAGGACCCAGCTGTTGCCGATGATGGAGCCACCGCACCACCAGTTTCCGTTGCCGCTGAACAGCAGACCCACGATGTAGGGCACCTTGCCCTCGTAGGCTGGGTAGCCGTTGGTGATGCGACCCTGGATGTCCTTCACCGGAACGGGGGTCAGCTTCTGATCCTTCTGCTCGGGAGCAGGGATGGCAGTGGCTGCGGCCACGGCCAGAGCCAGAAATACGAACAACTTCATCTTGGCTAAGTCTTGCAACTCATGGTTTTTCCAGAAACTGACCGTCCTTTTATACAGAAACCACTGCCTTATCAGCCCTGAGAACGATTGTTGGGTCCGAAAATTCGCCGGCTGTATATTATGGCCAAGTATGACAAGCATGACAATTCTGACCGACTGATAAGCTTAAAGGAAGTGGGTCTTTACTGAAACTATGGCTTGCATCTACGATTTGTTAAATTTGAAATTATTTTAATAAGCATATGGCAAAAAAATTAACTAAAAAAAATATTGAGAAAATAAAAATAAAATTTATTTTAAATATCACTTTGTTAATCTGTTAACAAGAAAACAACCGCAAAGTAATAATTTTGATTAAGAGTTGAGAACAAAATTCGGATGTAATTACGATTATTAAGTTTTGAATGACAATCGAAAAGGGTTTTATTTTAAAAATTTAAATAGTTTAAAAACATCGAATTTGTTTTCCTATGATTTTGAAGACAAATTGGTTATTTTACTGCAAAGCTACTAAATTTTTATTTAATATAGTTTTTGAAAACTATCTATGTTCCCTGCTAAAATTTTTTATTTGCTTTTTTCCTTGGTTTTATATAATAGAAAATTATGAATGAAAGCCACAATCAATCATTCAAAAGAGAAACTAATTCATTTATGGTCAGCAAATCAAGTACCTACATTTAGTATCATGAATCAGAATCAGGTCAAATATTTTAAAAACAAATCGTTTTTGGCTATATGTATTTTACGGCGTTGTACTTCGCTACATCTATTTTTGAAAAAAAATTCCGCTTATTTACAAATACTTACAGTATTTAAAGGAAACGAGATTAATTTTAAACATCTTTCTATTGTGCTGCTGAATTCTTGAAGCTTTCGCAAGTGTAATATATTATAATAAAAATATTCGATTATAAACTAATATGATAAGATTAAGAGTTTGTGGTTTATGAGGTTTTTTTTTGTCTTATTATTTGGCAAGAGATTTTGTTCATTAAAATTTTAAATGATTAGTGTTCTTTAGAGAATAATGGGATTCAGGTGTACACTTATGGCAAGCATGCCACACATCAATTGTGAAGAGCAGGCTATAAGTTAGGTCTTATCGAATGTCTTAACATTTCGTGCCAGAAAGTTGGCAAAATATATGGTCAGCGAATTTTGCTGACACGCGACAAGAGCTCTTGAAATTGATAAGGGACTAGTATAAAAGGCTGGTCAGTTTCTGGAAAAACCATGAGTTGCAAGACTTAGCCAAGATGAAGTTGTTCGTATTTCTGGCTCTGGCCGTGGCCGCAGCCACTGCCATCCCTGCTCCCGAGCAGAAGGATCAGAAGCTGACCCCCGTTCCGGTGAAGGACATCCAGGGTCGCATCACCAACGGCTACCCAGCCTACGAGGGCAAGGTGCCCTACATCGTGGGTCTGCTGTTCAGCGGCAACGGAAACTGGTGGTGCGGTGGCTCCATCATCGGCAACAGCTGGGTCCTGACGGCTGCTCACTGCACCAACGGAGCCGGCGGAGTGACCATCCACTACGGAGCCAGCATCCGCACCCAGCCCCAGTACACCCACTGGGTGGGCAGCGGTAACTTCGTCCAGCACCACCACTACAACAGCGGCAACCTGCACAACGACATCTCCCTGATCCGCACCCCGCACGTCGACTTCTGGCACCTGGTCAACAAGGTGGAGCTGCCCAGCTACAACGACCGCTACCAGGACTACGCCGGCTGGTGGGCCGTGGCCTCCGGATGGGGCGGCACCTACGACGGCAGCCCACTGCCCGACTGGCTGCAGGCCATCGATGTCCAGATCATGTCCCAGGGCGACTGCAGCCGCACCTGGTCCCTGCACGAATTCATGATCTGCATCAACACCGCCGGAGGCAAGTCCACCTGCGGAGGCGACTCCGGTGGTCCCCTGGTCACACACGAGGGCAACCGCCTGGTCGGAGTGACCTCCTTCGTCTCCGCCGCCGGCTGCCAGTCCGGAGCTCCCGCCGTCTTCACCCGCGTCACCGGGTACCTGGACTGGATCCGCGACAACACCGGCATCGCCTACTAAATGTGCAAATGTAAAAAATTTTTTTTAATTCAATAAATTTGTCTAGCAAAAATTGTCTGCAGTTTTAGTGGGGTATGACTAGCGCTTAAACTTTACTTTAAGGAAATTCGAATTCCATTGTAAAACACTATTATTTCGCGGTAGATGCATATACAGATAAAAAATGCTCATATGTTTTCCCGTCGACTAAATTTTCAATTTATTCAATAAGCCTTTTTGTTAGACTGTTGGCATTTATTGGAATGTTAAAAAAATATTAATTTTGTTACCTAAACTTGGTTTACCTATGATATATTGAACATTTTTTTTTCTATGGACATTATATTGTACCATTAAAATACATTTAGCATTTCTTTTGCTGGGAAACAATGTTGAAATAGAAAAAAAAAACATTAAGTTTCTACAAATACTGATCTCCAATAGTACATAACTGTTATAAAAATGTCCATCTGGACATGCCCAAAATTTTGGGGCAAGAGAGGGAGAGATTTAGAGAAAGAATACATTGTTTATTTATTAGCATTTGTGTGTATTTCTGTGTTTGACACCGTTGTTTGCACAGCACTTTTGTCTGGGTACGTGACAGTTTTCAGATAGAATAACGTTCTATTTGGCCCAATCCCATTTAGATGCGAAGCTACCTTTGCCCGAAGCAGTACCCATCAGTCAGACTTGATTCTCAGTTCCCAATTTACAATGTCGCCTCGCAGTTGGTACTTGGTTTTTGGGATTTTCCTGCATATGATTTGGAGTGGAGCAGCCAAGGTGGAGTTTTACTCGTCGGTGGACAGTATGCAGGATTTGGCACAAGTGGAGCAGGAGCTCCTAAATGCCACGCGTTCGTATTTGGAGACCCAGCAACAGCAGCTCAACTTTTATCGCAGGTAATCAAATTTAATGTTATATTAAGGTACATATAACATTATTAGCTATAACATTTTATAGATATGTGGATCAAATAAAACGGGAACATGAATGGGCTGTGGCCCAATTAAAACTGGATGAGTATCTGGGTCATCCATTGCACGCTTTCAGGTTGATCAAGCGATTGGTTCAGGATTGGGATGCACTTATCTTTGAACCCATACTCACCAACCAACCCAGAGAAGGTAAATTGTATTATACTTTAAAAGGGTTATAAGTTATGCAAAACAAATCCCATTTTCCGCAGACTTTCGCCAGTTTTCAGAGATACTGACAAGGGATTTGGGCTACCCCGATCAGTCGGAGCTTCAAGGAGCCATCAAAGGTTTGGCCAGGCTACAGAGGGTCTATAATCTTTCCACCTCGGATCTGGCTGGCGGCGTAATTAATGGCTTTTCTTACGACTCGGAGTTACAATGGCGTGAGTGCTATGAAATAGGTGCACAACTATTCGATCTTGGGGAATACCAAAGATCACTGGAATGGCTCCAGGTGGCACATGTACTTCTCCGAAATCTAGAAGACGAGAAAGACAAGATTCACTACCTATCAGATATACGTGAATATGCAGCCATGGCCAACTTTGAGTTGGGTAATCCAAAAAGAGCTGAAAACCTTTTAAATCAAATCCTAAAGCCCGAACCCACACACACCGCTCAGCAAACTCGCAAGTATTTGGAAAACCATGAGCCGGGAAAGAACATCCAAGAGAAGAATCCCTCGTGGTATGCCAATTACACCAGGCTATGCCAGGGCAAAAGATTACCAGAGGAGAGGAGTGGTAGCCCCTTGAAATGCTATCTGGATGGAAAGAGACATGCGTATTATACCTTGGCACCTCTTCAAGTGGAACCCGTACACCTGGATCCGGATATCAGTGTCTATCACGGAATGCTGAACGCCCAACAGATCTTGTCCATCTTCGAGGAGGCGGACAAGGAGGAGATGGTGCGATCAGCCGTAGCTGGCGAAGGTGGCAAACGCACCGTCAGAGATCTCCGGGTTAGTCAGCAAACCTGGCTGGACTACAATACTCCCATAATGGAGTCTGTGAGCCGGATCATTCAGTTTGTGTCTGGATTCGATATGGCCGGAGCCGAGCACATGCAGGTGGCAAACTACGGAGTTGGTGGGCAGTACGAACCGCATCCGGATTACTTTGAGGTCAATTTGCCAACTCAATTCAAGGGGGATCGGATATCCACCAGCATGTTTTATGTAAGTTTTATACTACATTAGATTTGTATCTGGATATATTTTAAAATAATATTTTTGCAGCTCTCTGATGTGGAACAAGGTGGTTATACTGTCTTTACCAAACTTAATGTTTTTCTGCCTCCTGTTAAAGGAGCCCTAGTCATGTGGCACAACCTTCATAGATCCTTGGATGTGGATGTGCGCACCTTACATGCTGGCTGTCCAGTTATTGTGGGTTCCAAGAGAAGTAAGAACAATTATAGATATAAGAAAAATGTTCTAAATTTTTGTTCTAATTGCAGTTGGCAACATTTGGATGCACTCGGGCTACCAGGAGTTCCGGCGGCCCTGCAACCTCACCTCAGATAGCTACAAGTCCGCAGCCTATCGGAAATCAGTGTAGATTAAACGTTTAATAAATTAATATCTTACTTTAATGAGTGTTGTATAGGTTGCTTAATCAATATAAAAGTGCATCAGTCAAAGTCCCTGTAAGGCAATGAGATTTCTTGGTTCCTTTGCAAATCACAGGGTCTCACATGATCCTGATGACGTTCTCGCACCCAGACATTGGCAACTGCAGATAAAAAGTCATTTAAAATAGGTTATTTTTAGGAATATGTATAACTTACTCCACTTGCTGCCCTGAAGAACGGGACAGGCGGCATGTTTTGTTCGATAATCCTGATCACCAGAAGGATGAAGATTGTACCAGAAGAGCAGACTACCTCTTTCTGGTGTCACCAAAAGGGGCAAAAAGGGAAATGCGGTACCACCACCAGCTTCAACATCGGAGAGCTAAAAACAAATAGTTTGGGGCATAACAATATAGTGTTATTTATAAAGAAAGTTGTATAGGAAACTCACGTAATATATGCCCGTGGCAATTCGATTCCCGGTATCATCCCCCTCTTGGTAAATGTGGTTTTCCGGAAAGCTGTCCCAGTGTGGTTCATAGTGACCACCGATGCCATAGTTGGCCACCTGCAGATCCTCGCCGTATTCCATTTCCAGGCCTGATAAGTCACCCACATGCTGGCTTAGCAGTTTGGTTACTGCATTCCTGGAGTAGTTGAAGGAGGCCCCTTGGCTGGTGCGAAAAGCGGCTGCAGTTGATGCCCCATTTCCGCTTAGCGAGTATACAGTGGATCTTTTAATCCTGGGTCTGGCAGTCCTTTGCAGGAATTCCGAATCATTGGAGCTAACCACCTGATGCAGCTGCACCACTGGCGGATCCAAGTGCAGTTCCTCCAACTTAAACGGAGCATAGCCAAAGCGACTTTTCCTTAGGCGACAACGGAGTTGTCGTTGTTTGGAAGGCAGTGGACCCAACTCACCACGGCACACCTGTTCGTACATACGAAACTCCCGGGACTCATGGTAGTCCCCAGGTCTTCGTGCTGTCACATGAAGCAATCCACTTTTGTCTCCATCGGTGATTAGTTGCTCCAAACGCCGACGAGATTCTAGAAGATGACTCCTTTGGTCTGGTTCTATGGAGAGCACGTGGTTCACTAGTCTCAAAGCACTCTCGTGGGCACCCATCTCCCGATGATAGTCCACCACCGCCTCCATGAAGTCCAGGGATGCGGATTCCGTGCCATAGGACTGTTCCCCGAGCAACTGCATCGACTGCTGCAGCCACGGCACCGTGTGATTGTAATCCCTCAAAGCATACAAGTGCTGGCCGAGCACAAAGCAGTCCTGCCAGGACATGGCCGTTCTGGAAAAGAGATCCAGGTTTAAGCAGACACAGAAATTACAGTGAAAATAGAAATCGTTTTAATCTTTAATTATACAAGTATTTTTTATTATACTGTATGCTGCCCCACTTTATAACAATTCGTTTTAATTGAACAACTTTTTGGGTCATTTCCTTTCCCACTTATGGGTATTAACAAACATTTTGCAGTCGTAAACTCACATAATAAGTTGCTCCCGGAAGAGGAAAATATAATTGCTGCTTTGTTATGATATGACACAATGTTAAATGCACATAAACCTCAACTTTTTTTATAACCACTGTGCTAACAACTAACTTAAAGTAACTTACTAACATTTGTTCAGTATAATTCTGCATTCTGTTAGAGTCAAAAGTTGAACCTTCTTATTTAATATAATTTGTATGTAATTAAGATCATTAGTGTTTAGGAAAGCCCGCTATTAGATCTTCGAAGCTTATTATTATATACAATTCCTTACCCATATTTAACGCCGTTTAGACTTCCACTGGCCAATTCGGCCACATCCAGTTGGTATGTCTGCTGAAGTCGAGTTAAAGCGATTGCCGATCCCACGAAATCATCCTGTGAAGGATAGCTCAGATTTTCCTTATATCCGGCCATGGCTTCGAGATAGTCTGTAACGGAATAGGTTATGATTGTATCTAATGGATAATAGTTCAACTGTTAACTAACTTGAGCGACTTGAGTCTGATGAAACACTGCCCTCGAAGGTCTCCCAATCGCTGTGGAGGCGTTTAATCAGTCGAAAAGCGTTCACCGGATTGTTGAGGTAGTCATCGATGCCCTCGGCGGCATTCAGGTGCTCCACGCGGATAGCATCGATCTCACTGAAATCATAAACAAAGTAATCATTAATCAGACTCATAACTAAAGGAATTTGCATAAATTAAGTTTTTTTTTTGGGTGGACAAACTAAAACTAAAAATTCTCTAGATTTTATACACTGATAAAATGGAACGTAGGCTAGGAGTGAAATTAATTGGTTATTTTAAGGGGACAAATTTGAGCTAAAATTGGTAGCAAGATCATAATTAAAATGGGAGGTGCATGAAACATTTTTCAAATGAGAAGGTGACTTTTTAAAAAACTGCAACTCAAATCCGTTTTTCCGCAGTGTTTAAATATTAAAGCACCTGCTGATTGAAACCATTTTTCAGAATTATGGTACAAAAAATTGCCTTAAAATATACAGAACTACCAAAAAATGAATACAAGTAGAGGTTTATCGGTGGGTTACCTGTTTTGTATAATTTACGCATTTATTTGCACGCCTGTCGCCTGCATTGCGGCTCATTTAAAAGTCATTAAGTTGGGAGCGTAACCATAATCTGAATCTAGAAGCGAGTCACAACTAATTTGAGTTCAAGTCTTTTGTTGGAAACGGCGCTGTCTTGATGATTAAGTGGTAGCACTTGTACCCAATAAATCTATTTTAATATATTTTCAAGTGGACGCCATGCCCAATGACTAAGCCAAAGAAATTCAATTGTTTTGTTTCTTACACAATTCGAAAATAAAAAGACCAGTTTTCGCAGACAGCTGATTCAGAAAGGTATAAATATTATACTTTACAATTTGTTAACGGTTTCTTATTAGATAGAAAGCAATCCGGTTTGCGAAATGCGCATGATAAACAAAACAACCGCACACGTTACTGTATAATATGCATATCCGAGGCGATGATTGCACAATATTTTAAACTTCTAAATCTGCTAAGCCGGTGACACTTATTTCTGAACAACAAAATAAACTAGCGGCATTAACAATTGCCTTAGATCCGGCGATCGGTATCGTCGCTGGTAGCAATCGATTTTGTCGCAGATAATCAAATGCAAGGTTTCGAAATGTTACTGAAAGTGGTTGGCCAGCGATTTGTGCTTTATACGTGCCATTAATTAGTATAATAACCGGCGCTAATAAATCAAGCCCAGAAATTGGAGAAATTAGCAGACCATAAAATAAATAGCACCCCGCGCAACTAAACAAATAGCATTGGTTAGGGAATCAAGCAATCTGCAATCGGCGACAAATCGCTGGGTTGCCATTCACTTTTATGGCAACCGGTCCAATGAGATGACAGAAATCTGCATAATTGTAATAAAACTAACTGAAGCTAACTAGAATTTAATATCTCGATGTGCCATCTCTCCCACAACAGACTTTAATTAGTCAAAAACAGTTGAAAATCTGCCCACCCGAGTTCGATGTTAATTTTCAATTAACGTGGGCGGTCAGCCACGCATATGAAAAGATAAATTCATAATCGGATTCCCACTGACATCTGTCAATTGATTTTCATTTTATTGTTTCACGGATTGTGTGACAATCTGAAATATCATATGCCTGGGAAATTTGATGGACTCTGCACATTCCGATTGGCCTGTGCGCGAAATGAGTTTCTCATTTGCATCTAATTAAAGCTAACCATCTGGGTATTAGCAAAAACCAGCATGGAATAGTAGGCTCGGCTAGAACCTGAGAAACTTTCCATTTTCATATGGCTTTTGCTAGAGGAATGTCCACTAACACTTTAAATTCTTTAAGTGAGTTCAATCCACTCTGAAAATAAAATTTACATATATTTAAAAGAAGTTTTATGAGCTGTTCTTATTTTCTTCAGAATGTCTTTTTTATGTGCTTGTTATATTACCATAAAAAGCACATAAAAATCTTTTTAAAAATGTATTAATATCGGCTGCACGGAATTTCAGATTTTTAGATTGCTTTATTTTTTTTTTATTTGTACTTGAAGAGTTAGGAAATTTCTTATTTAAAGTCTGTTCTGAACCGGTTTTTCATACATTAAATTTACAGAAATTTGTAATAATATTTCTTAAACATTCTAATTTTGTTGAAGGATCAAGTTCATTTGAATAGAAAATACTGAACTAATCCAAAAAATATATTATAATTTAAAGTAATTCTATGAATATTAAAATTTCTATTTTGCAATTTAAAATTAAAAATTTTAAATAAAAGTATAGACAAACATAATCACTAAATTAAATACTTTTTTTATTTTCGAAATAAATGTGCTGGCTTATATTTAATTCACTTTTACCTCTGCAGTGCTTCTGCATGCTGATTAATTTCATTCACATAATTTTGCAGCTCTGCCAGGAGCACAACCTCCGTTTGGAACAACTTCTCCAGACCCGAAGTGGAACTGAAGAATTCGCCACGGCAGGATAATATCGGCAGCAACAAAAAAAGGACACACTTGGCCAAAAACATTTCACCCAACCGAAAACGTCACCGGCTTTCAAGATTGCGGATCTCGCTTTTTAGCTTGCTGTTCCAGCCGCGATTCGTTATAAACTGTTTTCAGTCGGCGGCCAAAGCGACGATCTTTGGTTGATCTTATGAAAAAAGCTCGGGGCGTTTGCGGCTGCGCGATACAGCGGGTGTTGATCGAGCAGTTCCAGCTTTGGATTCTAATGGCACGGAATCTCTGGTCAAAGAACTGCCCGCGGGGGAGCCAAGTTCTGCTTGAATAGGCCCCATTAAGTGAAGTACCCACTTCAGCGAGGTTCAATAAACTGAAACTGAATGTACATATGTACATTTACATAAGACAGAAGTTCTGACAATTGTGGCAGGAATCAAAACTGAACGTTAAAGAAATCTACATAACTTTTCCAGCCGGCAGACTGAATTTTTCCCTACTAATTACTTTCACTCTGCTGCTCGCAGCAGTTGTCATTTCACAGGCCCAGATATTCAAATCAAATCCCACCGAAACTTTGCCCGTGAACTTGTTTATGCAAATGAAGCCGGCAAATGAATACGCAACTGGCTTTCGGCTCATCTCAAAGCTGGCCCGCTCCGTTCGTTTTGAGTGAGACTGCAAGGCACTCAAAACATTGAAAACACTCAAACCGCACTTAACCCACTGAGCTCGTTCGAGCCAAAAAAGAGACACAGTAGTGGTAGCTTGACTATCACATTCTTTATTTGATTATCTCGTAGCCCAGCGAAACCTCGTGATCCCGGAAAACGTCGCAGGGGCGGGCAAAGGTCTGCGTCACCTCGTGTATCCAAACGTTGCCAACTGCAAAGATCAAGCCGAAAATAATTACATTAATTGCAGAGGTCAACTCGAGAGCAGGTGGAGATGGCTGATGGCTTCATTAAACCGCATTAAATCAAATTAACAGTCATTTTCGTATACCTGCTGAACTTTAAGCAGCTTGTTAAAGAATTAAAATATTAAGTTGTCTTTAAAAACGACTGTCACTTATCTTCAATTTGTATATTTATTTAAGCAGGCAGGTGAATTTAATTTAATATAGGTTAAGCAAATTTATTTCTGTGTATGTATGTATGTATTCTGTGTAGAAAGTGAAGAGTATATTTTTAAGTTCTATTTGTTTACATACTTTTCTGTTCAGTGAATTGCTATTATGGAGAAAATTTTGACTTTAAAACTAATTAAATATTGTGACATTCTGTTATAAAATCTTACTTTCCATAAAATGTATAATAAATTTATTTATGGAATATGAAATAAAATAAAAGTTTATGATAAGAAAATGATAAATTGTTATCATAGGGGAATTTGATATTAAAATTTTTGATTTTAAAGCTCATTTAATATTGTGACATTCCAAACTTTCAATGAATTTTGCTTTGGAATATTAACTACAAATAAAATGTAATGATATGGAACAAAATAATTTCTGAGCAACTTAGCTATATAAGACACCAGTAATTACAAAGTGATGCTTTCCTAATCCCCCCTTGGATATAACTTACTCCACTTGCTGCCCTTGAGGACTGGACAACCGGCGTGCTTGGTGCGGTAGTCCATGTCCAGGGAGCGATGCAGATTGTACCAAAAAAGGACATTGCCCAGCTGCGGCCTAACGACGATGTCCAGGAAGGGAAAGGCGGTGGCCCCGCCCTGCTCCACATCGGATAGCTGCGTGGGCAGAATAATTACTTTCACTAAATCATACGAGGGATTAGCACCATGTCCACTCACATAAAATATGGCAGTGGCAATGCGGTTGCCCTCCTCCGCAGGATAATGGCTTGGGTCCCGGAAGAAGTCCCAGTGCGGTTCGTAGTGCCCACCCACGCCGTAGTTGGCCACTTGTAGCTGCTCGCAGAAGGTGGTATCGAGTCCTGTGGCATCTCTTAGATCCTGCAGCATGCCCACCATAGTGGGATGCGATTCGTACTCCAGCCAGGCATTTTTGCTCACGCGAAAGGAGGACTTCTTTCTCTGACCCCCCGGCAGGGGATTCACGGTAGAGCGACTCATTCTGGGCACAGCCATTTCCCGGAGTTGAGCAATCTTTTGCGTGCTCAGCATGTCGTGGAAGGTCACCACATAGGGATCCAGGCTGTGCTCCTCCAGCTTGAGTGGTGCCAATAGGCGATATGGATGGCGTCCTTGGCTATAACGACAGCGTAATTCCTTACGGGGAGTGGGATTCACATCCCCTCGGCACACCTTCTCGTATTGGGCAAACTCCTCCGATAGCTGGGGGTAAAAAATTGGAATATTAGTTGCAATAAATATATATTTATGCTACATACTAATTTTTATTTTATTTGCTATTAGGTTCTAAGAAATCGCAGAAATCACTTAGGTTTAGAAACTAATTGTAAAGGTGTGTAATTGTATGCAACAAAATATATTAAATCTGAAAGTTAATTGAATTTATTCCGGAAAAAGTCTTTAATTTTTTGTTTACATCTTTTTATGTGATTTCAATACACCATTGTCTTCAACGATACAAACACTTTCTTATAACCTTATGCACATATGAGTTCGGCAAGTTAAAAATGAAAATTAACCGGTTATCTTTTATATATTTTCAAAGATTAAGATTAAAGCCCTAATCTCAAGCTTCCATAAAAACGGTAACAATTCCAGTAAATGCTTGCCAAAATTCACTTTAAACATTTTCATACTCACGTTATACGAATCCGAATGTTTTGGTAAACTATCGTTTTCGGTGTCCTCTGGAGGAGTCGCTCCTTTGTCGCCCAGATGCCAGTTTCTTATGCGTTTGGGATCGAATTGGAGCACCCGTTGACTCAGCTCGTAAGCCGTATCGAAGTCGCCTGAAAATTTTTAGAATGAGTATCCTTAAAGTTGGCTCAACAAATCCAACCCCCCAAGCTTTTTGCTCACCCAATTGGAACAAACTCTTGGCCGTTGCTTCCATTTTGTTGAGGGTAACGGTATCCGGTCCGCTTGTGGGCGTTGAGTGGGCGTTGGCGTGTGCGGGACTGCTGTGACGTCGCAAGCGTTCCATCGACTCCCGCAGCCAGACCTTGGTGTTGTTGTAGTCCTCCATTTCAAAGAGTTGTTGACCCAGCTCGAAGCAATCCTGCCAGCTCATGTCCGAACTAAAAATAGAAGCTTGAAATGTTATAATTGATTTTTTCGAAATCGATATGCCCTTATTTTGATTTTATTAGCCTTTCAATTAAATAGGCGAATTTAAGACAGTAAATTAATTAATATTCATGTTGTCATGTCTTTAAAATTATGGAGATTACAGATTTATTTATTTATTCCATTGACGCATGATGGGGCGATTTTATTCAGAAATAATTATAATCAGGAAACTGCTAATATTGAATATTTTGAAGTTCTGTTTCACAAGCAAAGTTTATGTTATTCGGAAGCTGACTTGTTTAAATTGATATTAGACTTCATTTCGGAGTATTTATAAAGTTTAAGGACTAGGGAAATCCTTGTATAAGTGTGATACAAACATGATTAAAGTCTGACGAATAATTTCTATTAAATTTGTATAAAATATGTATTTATGTTTAATGGAACTGTAAGAGCTTATTATTGTTTATGATTTTATACATGTTTATTTTCAATGCTACTGTAACTTGACATTTCCCATAGACAATAAGTAACATATTTGCCCTAAAAGTCAATATACTTTTCAAATCAGCCATTCCAGTGCCATCGATTGGGGTTCAGTAAGAGGGGGAGCAACACGTTTGCACTGGGATTAGGCGGAATAGCTCTGTATTTTAAGCCTGGCTGGTTATTGCTTATTCGCTTCCGCCACCTAACCCACTTTGTGGTCTCACCCGTATTTGATGCCATTCAGGATGCCAGCGGCCACCTGGGCCACGTCCAATTTGTAGGTGCTCTGCAGGCGAACGAGGGCCAGGGCAGCCCCCTCCACGTCCTCCTGGCTGGGGAAACTCAGTCCGTACTCCCTAGTTGCATTGAAATCTGCCAAAGAGAAATCGTTGAAACAAACGTTGTTTAAAAGGGCCGGTCTCCAACTCACTCATGTCCTCGGCTATCAGCTGAATGCGAGCCTCCATGTGGGACCAGTCCGTGTGGAGGCGCTTCATCAGGCGGTACACGTTCACCGGATTGGTCAGGTAGTTCTCCGTATCCGCCGCTGCCATAGAATGCTCCTTTTCAATAGAGGACAGTTCGCTGCGGATTGAACGAGTTTCGACTTAGAGTTGCCTACCAGTTTATCCGATGTATGAGACTTGTGTCGTCATAGGAGCTGACTTTGCAAGCTCATACTCGTCTTTCGGCTTAATTAATTCTAATTTATGTGTGATTCTATATTCATAATAGTTTTTATGATCGCTGCGATAACAAAAACGAGGCGAAATGAAATAAAACGAAAGCGAAATGCCAAAAATAAAGTCGAAACCTGATAACCAATATTTGATGATCCAACTGTCCAACTGTCAATAATAATCCAATATCTGTGGCTAACACTCGCGGCGTCTAACTACTCTATTTTAAGTGACAGGTGGGCATTAATGATAATACCAAATTGAGATCACTGGCACTTCGCACATATAAAAGCAGACATAAAGTCTGGCACCTCGTGTGTCGGCGACTCTCTGTAAACTAGTTCTCGAAAGGGGCAGTAAAACTTTAATGGATTTGCTAACGACAATAGGCTGTAATTAAATTAGCATTATTTCGAATATCGTGATATGGCTGAAAACTATTCTCTTTTCCTATTCCTCAAGGTTCGACTGTTAAATATCCTTTAATGCTTACTATATTTCTTATACAATTTAGGAATATGACAAAGTATTCCATTTCATTGAAAGTATTTAGAGACGTCAGTCCTATCCAGTTATTATTTATGATATTTTTTTCAATATTTACTCTCTGGCTAATTGGATCTATTCATCTGAAGGCGTGACTTAATAAAATGTATAAGTTAAATGTATAAATACGGGTTAACTACAATTTCAGGTTAAGCTGTATGTTCTAGAAATCTTTCAAATACGGTTGTGTATATTTAACAAAGGTACTTTTAAGCACCTTATCTTTTTAGGTAGTAATTTTTTTTTTTTAATTTTGATTAAGCTATCTACTCTATTTAAGTTTTAATATTGATTATTGGTTTGCATTTCAGTACATTTATTCTTACCCCTCCAATTGTTGCAGAGATATCCTGATTCCATTGACCCTAGACCTTAGTTCCTTTGTGAGATATTCTTCCGTATGCAGAAGTTCCTCCAGACCGGTAATGGATGAAAAGTAATCCGAGGCCAGAGATTCCTGACCCAGAAAGGACATTAGTCCTATCAGTAATATATATCCTCGCATTGCACCTTCTCAGTAGTGTTTTGTTTATGTAAATACTCCTTGTTTAAGTTTAAATCCTTGGTATGTTCAGTTTTCCCTTCCAGACGTTCAAGTCCGCCACCATTCGCGTCTCGTGGCGAACTGATCTTCGGATGAATCTTTGAGAGATCTCGATTCTGAGACATCCCGTCCCATGATGCGGAGAGCAAACCGGCGGCGAGAATTAATTTCGCATGTGCGAAGTCGAAAACTAGTTGCGGTGGCCTATGATTTGAAGAAAACTGTTTTATTAGCCAGTTCTGTGCATGTTCCGATGCGGAGAGCAGCGTACGGGTTTTGCGGCCCGGCGTGTTTTATGGCTTGTTTTGCGCTGATTTACTGATGCTTATCGGCCGAGCTCGTTTCGAATTCAAAATTCGATCCGGGCCCAGATCGCACTCGGCTATTGTCTTTAGCTTGGGATTAGACCAGCCCGGCATATTAATACGGGCTAATTGGCCGTTAGCTGTTTGATATTTAAGACTGCAGTGCGACTATTTAGCAGTTTTGGCTAGGGCCACCATCACGTCGCTTTATGCCCAATTAACATTTCACATCCGACCGGTGCGACATTTCTTATTGGCTTATTGGTTTATGGACTATTGGCTATTGTTTATGGATTCCCCTGTTGCCGCCAATTTGGAGCAATGATTTGTTGATGGGTTGACCACCATAACTCACACTATTTTGATCCGCAATCGCTGCTGATTTATCGACTTCAGAGGCGGCCACACTTGTTTTATGGCCCAATGTTTGACTCGCGGATTTCCTCTTAATGGCAAACAAACAAACAAACAAACAAACAGAAAACAGCAGCTCGAGCGCAATTATGATTCGTAATAAAGTCTTCCATTTTAGCCTCTGTTTGCCCGACCCATTCACACCGGCCACTCCCAACGGGAAATAACGCAATAAAAGGCTGATTTTTAATCAAACGCCAAGGTCAACTTTATTTGATTACCCCGCTGGCAATTAAAGCATTTGTATGTAGCACGAATCGGAAAAACCATGAAAGTCCATCAGTTTCGCTGTTCACGTCAATTGAGTCCTGTCCACGCGGCTGCATGCGAAATTGAGATGAATAAGAATGGAAATTATTTAAGAGGTTGGTGGTAGTCGACCATGAGATACCCAATACTAATATAAACTTTAATTTAGTTATGGGTTAAAAAAAATTATTTTGTATCCTTTAAAGCTAGGATCTAAAATTTATGGTTCGTTGTGTGAAAATTGACTGTTAAATAATCATTTGGAAAGTCTTTGTTTTAATAAGTTTTACCAGGACAATCAAATACGTTTCAAATAAAATAAAATTTATACTGCAAAATGAGTTTTCAGTTTTTTTAGACTCAAATAATTAATGTTTAAAAATGCCGCAATGAAATCAAAATTTGACTACATCCTGCACTATGCTATACTAATTTTATAGGGTATATCTCAACATGTTAAATTGACTGCGTTGGGTCGCAAAACTGAATCCCAGCACGCTCCACCCATTCCTCAACTTACACATTTGGACGCCCAGGAGCACGGGACAGACTGCCACTCCAGTGCGGTAGTCCCACTCGGATGATGCGCCTCCGGCGGAGCGTGTGTGCCAGTGGAGCACCGAACCTCGGGGGACATTCACGCCGAGCTCCAGCTGCGGAAAAACCACGGCGCCGCCCATTCCGGGTGCCTGCAACTAAACCGCGGTAATGGAGCGGAATTCAATTAGTGACACACTAGTTAATTAACTAGGGGTTTTTGGTTAGCCACGTACATTCAACATGGCACGTGCCGCATGTTTAAGTTTCGCGTTATCCTCCAACTTGGTGGTGTGCTCGTGGCCATAGCGACGTGCCATCCAAGGATCCTGGTACGCTGCCTCGTAGCCCAGGAGATTGGGAATCCTCCTCAGCTTCTTTTGCCCCACTTTGGATAGCTTTAATGGTTGATAGGTAACTCCCTTCAAACCCTCCTCCTCATCAATAAGTTCCAGCATCTGATCGACTTGCTTTGGAGTCAGCACATTGTGATGCAGCGCTATATGTGGTTCTGAGCTCAGGAACTCCAACCTTGCAGGTTGAAGAAGCGACCAGGGCGTACTTCCTTCCAAATGGCAGTGGTTGGAACGACTTCCTGTAGTAGTTTCATGAGTAGCCTCTCGACAAAGCTCCTCTATTAGCAGCTGCTCCGTGGACTTGGATTTCTTGGGGGTAGAAGACAATATTACAGATTTGATGGTATACTTAAGATAATGTCTAGCCTTTTAAAGAAATGTTGCCAAAAATAAAACATGTGTTAAAAAAAAATTTAAATATTTCTACAATATACACTGATGCAAGGATATTCAAAGCTTCGCACATAAATCACTTCATAAATATCACTTATTCATTGAAATGGAATCCAACTTGGAATGTTTATCATTTTTTATTTTGCAGCCCAGACCCATCAGCTGACTTAGAAATTTTATCCGCCACTTACTTGTTTCTTTATCTTCGACTTTTGACTCTTTCCCTTGGGCAATTCCTTTTTGGCCAAGGCTTTTTCAATCTTTCTCTTGGCCTTTTGAACATTTTGGTTCATTGGCAGCAATAACAGAAGCTGCTCGGCAGTTGCCAAGGCTCGGGAAAGTTCCCCTAAAAAAATAAAAGGTGGTTACATTTTGGAAGACTGATGGATATTTGCACTTAATACAAAGCAAACCTACCAGCACGGTATTCAATGTTTAGCGTTGCTTCTAGAATCTGCAACCGACCACTTTCCCGTTCCCTATGCGATTCTGTGGAGTTTTCGGAGGCGGAGGGCAGCTTTTCCAGAGCTGTTTTCAACCAAAATCTAGCCACCGAAAAGTCTGACTTGCGAGCCACTTCCAGGCAGTCGCCCCAGGACATGGCAGAGCTATAAGTATGTAAACAATTTTTGATTGCTTTGGTTTCTCATTTTCTGGCGGTTTCGGTTTTTTGCCTTACCCCAACTTTAAACCTTTGACCACGCCCAATGAGAGGCTAGCGGGTTCTAGTTCATAAACCGACTGGAGATGTAGCAGTTGGGTAAGGGATTCCTCGTAGTCCTCTTCCGTTGGCAAAGTAAAACCACTATCAGAGTAACCTTCTCCGAAATCAAACAGATAGGTGGCATTGGCCTGCTGTTCCAATCTTGGCCACACACTCTCAAATCGCTTTAGAATAGTCAGCACATTCAGGGGATTACCCATGTACTCCTCCACATTATCAACTTGACTGTGTATCTCCTCGATGGCCGAGGTTTCCCTTTGGATCTCCTCGAGTTGAAGCTCCAAACGTTCGATGTAATCACGCAACTCATCGATAAGCTGCGTTTCGGTGTCCAGAAGAGCCTCCAGTTTCTCCTCTCCCCTGGCAAAATTAGCTCCAACCAACGAACCCGTCAGCAGAAGCAGCCACAAAACACCAACAGCCACCGGCATTTCCATAATTAGATGTCTCCGTTGCTTTTTCAGTCTTTTCGTTCTTCACTTTGCTCTTGGCCCTCGGGTCAATGACTAGAGATTTTATCTATATTATGTATTGGAAGTTCGAACCGAACGGAGAATGTTTGACTGACCGGCTTGAATGGAGGAGCTAAACTGAGGCCAAGGTCTCTATTTCCCATTTAGCCCAAGAAAGTGGTGAGTTTAGTTTAGTTTGCAATGCTATTGAACTTTGTGCTTATACTATGAATTATTAAACTTGTGGTGAATTTAAAGAACTAGTTTGTTTTTCCCTAGATAAATATATTTGTTGTGTTTTTACAATAGGTATATTTTTATTTAATTTAATCGCTTGCTAGCCTCATTTGTGCTTCAAGTCAAGGAACTTTCCCTCATCGCTAATGAGCCCACAGGGTCGCTTAAACTCCTGGGCAGCCACATGGAACCATTCATTGCATACTAAAAGAAATACAGTTTTAAAAATATTCAAAATTTTAAGTGGCTTAAATGAACTTACTCCACTTAGATCCTTTGAGAACAGGACAACCAGCATGCTTTGTTCGAAAGTCCTTGTGTGTGGAGCGGTGCAGGTTGTACCAGATCAGAAGACTGCCCTTCACTGGGGGAACAGCCAACCGGAGAAAGGGAAAGGCGGTGGCGCCTCCCAGAGGGACATCATTGAGCTAAAAAAATATAAAAGTGCATTTTTTGAGAATTTCTGAATTGTTACTTTGTCGCAATTTGACCCCAAGTCAAATGAAACACGTTTTTGGATAGCTAATCATCTAAGCAAGTTACGACTATCACTTTGTGGGTGAATTCAAATAATATAATTTTTTACCATTTTGAGGATTTTTTTATAAGAGGTAACATCATCTTTTTTTTGCTAAAATTTGTGAAAAAAAAATTTTTTTGAAATTTGAATACAGATTGATTTAGATATTTGTTGCGAGCTTAAGGAAGTATTACTTGGTAATTGTTTGAATTGATTACTGATTTTTTATTGCGAAAATTAGGAATTTTTACTGGGATTTTGGTCAAAATATTTTTTTTGTTTTTGAGTGATTCTTACCTGTAACTAAACCAAAATGAGACACAATTGTTTTGGTCTTTCTTTACAAGACCATCGAGATTAAACATTCAATATCTTAACTAAAATTTGGGAATTTGGATTTTTCTATGTGATTTTAATTTAATTCGAGTTCTTGATAACTTGATTTTAAATTAAAACTTTTATTTAAATTTTGTAATGTAAAAACTTAGAAACTAAAATAACTCACATAGAACAGAGCAGTCAGAAGACGGTTACCCTTCCAGCCAAAGACAGAATTATTATCGTTCTGGGGAAAAAATGGAGCATTGTAAACTGTTAATCACAATTACTAGATGAACTCACCTCCACAAAGTCAAAATGCGGCTCGTACTGCCCTCCAATGCCATAGTTCACCAGCTGCAGTGGCTCCGCACTTTCCGTGCTCAATCCGGTGACGTCCTCCAGACGCTGTTTGATTTTGGAGAGCCAAGGATTCGCATCGTACCACAGCCAGGTGTTTTGACTTGTACGGATTTCGGTTGTGGTGGAGTTCTCGGACTGACCCACTTTCGAACGCTCCATTTGACCCTTGCCATTCTCCATGATCAGAGCCATTTCGCTGTCCCTCAAAACTTGATGAACATAGGCCACATACGGATCCAGATTTAGTTGTTCCACTTTGAAGGGTGAAAGGCGGTAGTATGGAACTCCCTGGTGACTAAGCCAGCATTTCAGATTCCGCTGCTCTCGAGGGGATTGGCGAAGTTCTCCTTGGCAGACCCGTTTATACAACTGGAAACTCTCCTTTTGCTCCTAATAAAATAGGGTTTTTTTTTTTAATTTTAGTTTGGTGGTAGTAGCTACTTACTCTTTCTGTCAACTTTGGCAATTCAACCTTTCTTGGTCTAAGACTTCGCTCCTTTGCCAATTGACTCTCATACAAAATCTTATTCTTCAGAGCTTCCTCATGATCTGACGCCTTGTCCAATATTTCATTATTAAGTTTGTGAGCCAGTTTTAGATTGCCCAAGCCATTGAAAGCCGGTGAAAGGTGCTCCAGAATCCGGACATCGCTCACATTGGGTGAGATAAAGCCCAAAGGCTTACCATGCAGTCTTTTTCTAGCCTCCAGTAACCACTCGGAGCCATAGGAGTACTCCTTAATCTGACAGAGATTTTTACCCAACTCAAAACAGTCGCTGGCACTCAGCGCAGTGTCCAGTTCATTTTTATCCCCAGGAAGGAGGACTCCATTAGCCAACTGATCCGTGTGTAAATGGTAGATATTCTGCAGTCGGAGAAGACCACGAGTGGCTCCATGCAGATCCTCCTGAGTGGGTCCTTTAAACTTGACTTTCTCCAGAGATTCACTAAGAGCACTCTTGTAGGTCTCAAAATTGCTTGTATCAAAGACAGGATCAAACACATGAAATTTCCAGTCGTGAACAAGTCGTCTGATGGTTGTGAAGGCGTTTAAGGGATTGCCAAAGTAATCCTCAAGATCGTCACGATCGATTTGCAAATCCTCAACCTGATTTAAAAATCTAAAAAACAATATATTTGGCTTTTAAATAATAATTAACATTTAAAACCAACCTTTTAATATTTTCCTGCTCTTGCTGAGCTCTTTCAAGATATTTATCAAACTTTTCTACTATAAAAGCCTCCACGTCAAGCAGTCGCTCCAGCTCACTTATGGCTGAATAGTAATCGCCATTAACTGAAATAATGCAGAGTACTGAAAAAACTACACCAAGCCGGCACATTTTCACTGCTCTGAGTTCCATTTGTTACTGTTCTGGGTTTCAGATAGACGAATTCGAAGACTGTCAGTCCACGATGAGTGCAGCTAAGCAAACATTGACACAGTTGGCGGTTTTTCGGCATTTCTAAAGTGAAGTGTGGCTAACAAAAAAGTAGGTGGCTCTGAAGATGCTAGAGAGGTACACGCTTATTGTCGACTACACTAATACTAAGAAAAATGTTTACTTTAAGCTGACAAAAAAATAAAATTATATTACGGCATGAAAAATCAATTTTAACTGCAACAACTTAAATTGAAAGTAAATTATGGGCTCTTTTTACTTTTTACTTACAGTGTACAATAGCATCTCGAAATGCCAAAAGCTAGCCCTTTAATTTCGCTATTATGCCTGATAGTTTTTGCAACGAGCCATGCCAAAGCAAATATAGTAGAAAATAACTATGCCATATCTATATACGACATGGGAAAGTTAATTTCCCATGAGCATTACCTACTGAATATATTGCAGAACTTTACGGACCTACTGCAAGAAAAAGTGGATACAATTGAAAAGTAAGTAGACAACTATGTTCTATGAGTTATGAACTAATTTGCCATCAATATAGCTACTTGGAAATGATGAACTATGAAGAAGATGTGAAGCCTCCGAACAATGCCGTTGAATATTTTCGGCTTATACGTCGATTGCACTTGGACTATTTCAATTGGGTGTGGTTTTTGGAGCAGCAGCCTTGGGAGGGTAGGTAATTTCTCTGAGAAAGTCCTTTAAGAAGAATCTAAATCATCCATTTTGATTAGTTCTTGTTGCGCATATAATTGCAATTGCTCCGCACATGCCCTCAGTGAAGGACATCCGGGAGGCTACCAGGGCAATACGTCTCATCCAGATTGTGTATTCGCTACCGACTGATAAAATGGTCGCGGGAATTTTAATGGACGTTCATTACAAGTAGGACTTTAATTTTGGATATTCATATTATATTATCTAAAGCTAATAATTTTTCAAAGTGCTTCGCTCAACCCAATGGAGTGTTATACCATTGCCAATGAATTGTTTAAGGATAGGGAATATGAAGCTGCCATGGAGTGGTTAAGCTCGGGTGTGGATATGTACAATGCGGACACGGACAAAGAGGAACTTTATACACAACTGGGAGTACCCTTGTCCAATTTCTACGAACTCTTTGTAAAGATACAAGATGCACAAGGTAGGATTTTATAATCAAATGATTTGTTACTCTGATGAAGACTAAAAACATTACAGGTAAGAGAGGTTATGCGTTGACTGAGCTGAAAACGGCCATGAAGACTTGGCCAGAACAGGTCAGTTTCAGACGGGCTCATTCTCGCCTAAAGATGAACATTCGCATCGACAAGGAGCCAAATACAAAGGTAGGTACTGAAACTTTTGAACATGAACATGAACTTTAAACTATTTGTGGCATGTAGAAAGCAAGACCAGAGTATGTGTATGCGCACTGTTGCAGTCACGAGTGCCGTCCAACTTCAAAATTGTTTTGCCTGTACAACAGCACCACATCGTCGTTCCTCCGATTGGCCCCACTCAAAATGGAACTACTGTCCCTCGATCCTTATGTGGTGCTCTACCATGATGTGGTTACCGAAGAGGACGTCGAAAGGATTAAGATCCTGGCACAGGACGATCTCACCCGAGCCACGACCGTTCATGAAGATCAAGTTCTGAGGGAAGACCCATACCGCACCACCAAGGCCAAATGGCTAGACGACACGGATGAAGTGATGCAGAGGGTGTCCAGACTGATACAAGATATGACCAATTTCGACCTTAATGGGTCTGATATGTTCCAGGTTATGAACTACGGAATAGGCGGATTCTACGGCAACCATTATGACTTCTTAAGAAACTCGAAAGTAAGATTTTTATATTCACTTAATTAGTCTTTTAATATCGATTATGCTGCAGAGCCCAAAGAACTTTGTGGATCGCATAGCAACCACCATGTTTTATGTAAGTTGTTTTATTTTTTGATTAATTAATATTATTATTAATTCTTGGAGTGATCGTTTGAAGCTGAGCGACGTGCCTCTGGGAGGAGCCACAGCATTTCCAGTACTGAAATTGTCAGTTTTTCCAAAAAAGGGCTCAGCACTTATGTGGTACAATCTTCACCACTCAGGTGAAGGCGATAAAAGGACATTCCACTCAGCTTGTCCCACCATTGTTGGCTCCAGATGGGGTAAGAAGTCAACAAAAAATAAGGTCAGCTCCATTTATTTATTATATTTCACAGTCATGACCAGGTGGATAGGAGAAATTCAGCAACTGTTTAGGAGACCATGCTTAACGCACATTTAGAGAAATAATTTTGAATAAAAACAAATTCATATATTCACGGTATAAATATATTTCAGAGGAATTCATTGCCATAAAAGGTTAAAATTAAGTTTTTCACGCTACTTTGTTTTTATACCTTGCCAAAGCATTATTTTTTCAATTCAGCCATGTGGTTTGCACTGCAACTTTCTCTTGTTTTGGTTTCTTTAAGTTTTCCCAAATGGGTCTGCACATCAAAGCTAAAAAATTATTTAGATCTTGACTTGCGGCTTATGACACAACTGAAAAGCTATTCTGAGGACCTTCAGGGCCAAATAGACGTGTTGAACAAGTAAATTATTTAAATTAAATTACTTTCCTAGAAGTTCTGTACTTTTTTGTAAGTAGTTATATAGATGAAAGAAGAGCCAAGCTATCTGAGGCTGAGAACGATAGCGAAAGCTTCTTAGGAAATCCTTTTAATAGCTACTCGTTACTTCACCATATGCACTTTGATTGGCAGTCTTGGCGAATGATCATGGAGGAGCCCTTGGCTGAAGGTATTTCAATTAACATACAAATAGAGAAAAAACGCCAAAATTTCATATCCATTCCTAGAGCAAATCGACGAGATTCGTGACATGCTCATCCACATCCCAACAAAAGGTGAATTCATGAATTCCATTAAAGGAGCTATAGACTTTCAGAATGGAGAAAACCCCAAATCAATAAAAAATCGCGAAGATTTAAAATTGAAGTAAGTAATGAATGTGAAAATAGCCCAAACTGATTTTTTCATAAATATTCAGTCCACTGGAAACCTTGGAAATCGCTCAGTACGTATACGATCAAGAGAAATTTGAACAGGCAGAAATGTGGCTAAATCGTACTCTCAAGGGCTATAAAGAGTTTGGTCCCCAACAAAAGAAGCTGTATGAAGTAATAAGCCCTGTCAGTGAGAGCCAGGTGCAGGATCTTTATGAAAAAGTTGTGAAACTAGGAAAAAGTGTTGCTTAACATTTTTTTTTAATTAAGTTAAAATGTCTAGACAAATAAAGGTTTCATTCTGTTCATGGTTTACAGCGTGACGAATTCTTTATTTATAAAATAATTTTACTAAATAGTGCTATATTGGCATTCTAAAGCTATGTTCGTAGACATGAAGATTGTCCTTACGTTTTTATTTGGTTGGGTTATTGTTTATATATCTCTTTCAAAAGCTGAGACTCAAGAAAAAAATAAAGATGATCGTATCTTTAAATTTACAAATCTCTGGCAGCTTAATGTAAATTTGGTGGACCACTTAGACAACTATTTAAGAGCTCTAGATACAAAATTACAAATAATCAATGAGTAAGTTATTCCTACATACATTTCTTGTAGTCTGATCAATTTTTCTTAGAGCTCTTGTCGACATGGCAACGGATCATATTCAGCACGAATCAGATAACATGAGTATTGTGTCTAGTCCTGTGGGTAGTTTTTCGTTAATTCGTCACATGCAATCGGACTGGACTTATTGGCAGCTTTTCCTGCAGGAGGTTCCAGGAAAAGGTAGTTAAATTTATAAAAAAAATTCTTTACTACAAAAATGGTGTTGCAGACGAACTGGAATCTCTAATTTCAAAAAATTCGTATTTACCACAAAAAAAGACACCTCGGAAGTCTGCAAGGATATTTTCAGTATTTTGAAAGCGTATGATTTACATTCCCAGGACTTTGCAAGAAGTTTTCTTTCAGGAGTTCCGCTCAAGTGAGTCACCAAAATACAATATAAATTTCGTTAATGTTTCTCCTTCTCAGCTCCATGTTGTCTCCTCGCGATTGCCTGCAGTTGGCAGATCATAGCATAACTAATAAAGATTTCAATATGGCAGTGCAGTGGCTACAGGTTGCTATTTCCATGCTGGATAATCAAAGCAATCAAGATCGAATCCACCCGCTTTTTCATTTAAATACTGCTGATTTACACTTAAAACTAGCTGAAGTCTATGTGCAGCAATGTAAGTAACGTAAACTTAACTGAAAATATATAATAACTTAAAACACCCCAACAGCTTTGTGGCCTCTTGCTCTTGAAACTTTGGAGACAGCTTTGAAGTCACAGCCTTGGAATGCAAAACAACTCAGAATGCAAAAGCATTTAAATTCTCAGATTTTACTCGATCCCCCATCATCATCTTACAACCAATATAAGTTGCAAGGAAAGAGACGACTTTATTGTTTTTATCAACGCAAGAAAGAATATCCCTTTTTATTTCATGCTCCCCTTAAGGCAGAGATTATCTTACTCAATCCATTAATTGTGCTAAGCAAGTAAGTTTACAGAAGTTCATCAATTAAATAAATAAATCACAGTTCAACACAAGGCCTTCTAAACTCCTGTCCTAGATCATTTATCCACTTGGTCATAACTGAAAAAGTTAAAAGCTTTGCAAGTCAGACTTAAAACCTAAATTATAATAACTCTTACCCCATTTCGATCCAACGATAAGAGGACAGCCGAGGTGATGCGTCATTAGATCCTCATTGCCCTTGTTGTCCAGATTGTACCAGAAGAGAACAGATCCTGGCTGTGGGAATACAGTAAGGTTGAGACTTGGAAACACGGTGGCACCGCCTTGGGGGACATCACTCAACTGCAGGATTACGCAAATCAGACAAGAATAATGGAGGAACACATATACCAACATAATAAAGCAGGGTGGCTATCCTGTCTTCGGTTCCATTAAACCGATCCTGGGGAATACATTAATGAGGCTGTGAATTGGCAAACCCAAACATTTACCTCGTCCCTTAGTAGCGTGTCAAAATGGACCTCAAAGACCCCGCCAACGCCATAGTTTATCACCTGGAACATCTCCGAATAGTTCATATCCAGACCAGTTGCCTCCTCCATCACATCGGTTAGCTTCTGGCTCAGGTTGTTTGAATTCGATTGTATCCAAACCGACTTTGAAGTGCGCGTAGTTTCAATATGATATGTACCCGTGGTCATATTAAAGGTGCTGGACGCTATTAGGTAACTTTTGCTTCCCTTTCGAATACGCTTACGTTCCTCGACAGAGACAATATCGTGAAAAATTACTATATGGGGGTCTTTTGAAAGGATCTCCACTTTCAAAGGAGCAAGGCGATAGAAAGGAGAGGCAGTGGTATTATAAACACAGTAGAGCCGAAGTTTGCGATCCACTTGACAATGACCATTGCAGCAGCGGGTGTACAACAAGTTATCCTGTTTGATAGACTCTTCAAGTTTGGAAGAGTTTAGATGTATTTTTGGTTTAGTAAGAACACTTGTTTCCGCGAACTGAAACTCTTCAAAAAATTCCGCATCGTGAGGACTCTCTTTTAGGGCAGCTTGATAGGCTGACAAGCCTTCTTGAAGTTTATCTGGAATTTAAATGTAATTTAATGTTACAGCCATTAACGAATACTCACTCTGCATTAGTTGATTTCTCGCCAGAGTCCTGTATAACAAAGATTTTTTTGGTGCTCTTAACAAATGCATCTCCGATTGAGTATCTGCCCGATCCAGAGCTGCAAGACCTGCATAAATCCACTCCTCAGATTCCAACCATCGGAAGTCATTCATTAGATAAAGACCCAACTCCAGACATTCGCGAGCTGTAAAGGAGGAACTAATATTGAAATTCGTTAAAAGTTGTCCCCTTATTACAAGTATTAACACACACTTATACTGCACTCCATTTAGCAAACCCTTTGCAATGTCCTTTGCTGACATCCCGTATACTCCTTGCATGCTTCTAATGCCCTTAGCTGCATCCTCAAAGTCCCATTTCTGAGGCAAAGAGGGTTTCATGGACTCTAAATAAGTAATTTTGTCTGAAACAGAGATTATTTATCAATGAAGATACTAACTAAAGATTTACCAACCCAAGCCCACTGGCTTTTCCATGTAGATGCTCCAGAAACTCCAGTCCGACTGCATATGACGAATGAGGGAGTAACTATTTAAAGGGCTAGACCAAAATTTGTCTGATCTTCCTTGGTCCAAATGCAAGTGCCTATTCATCATCTGGTTAATACCCCTTTACAGTGGCATTAATAAATAAATGAAATTGGTAAACCTAATAATCTAACTCACTTATTAATGGTATAAGCTTTCGTGGCCAAATCAGACGCATACTTTTCCAAGTTAAGGGCCAGTTCTTCGTTCAGTTGCAGCAGCTCATCCATATTGACCACTGATCTAGCAAATCGCTTGTGAACTGTGAAATTGTATTTATCGGCCAATTGGGCTTGGCTGAAACCCAAGGATAAAAGGATAACGATTAGCAAGCCAAAATTATCCATTGTTAAGTATTTAAGTTCTAAAGAAGAAATAAGAATCCAAAATCATGGTCACGCTATTAATCAACTTAACTTAACAATTAGTTCAGCAACATATAATGAAGCGTACTAATACAATTTTAGTTTCTACATTTCGTTTGAACCTTTGGTATACCGATAAGTTCCAACATTTTATTGATTAATGTTAAGAATTGTAAGTCAAAATCAGATGCAGAACTATATTATAATTTTTTCAATAGATAAAGTATTCTTAAGGTTTAAATTTGAATCAATGCAGGGTCTTCTGAACTCTTGTCCTTTATCGTATATCCACTTGCTCACAACTATAAAGAAAACAATTAAGTATGGAATCAATTTGAGTAGTGATATTACTAACCCCATTTAGAGCCCACGATGACTGGACAGCCGGTATGGATAGTGCGCATTTCCGCATTTCCCTTGGTGTTAAAGCTGTACCAAAAAAGGGCCGATCCGGACTTTGGAAAAACCGTCAGGTTGAGTTTTGGGAATAAGGTGGCGCCGCCTTGAAGGACATCACTTAGCTATAGAACAAAAGGAAATCATATAACAAAGCCAATAGCCAAAATCGGTAGACTTACATAAATTAGTGTGGTAGCCATTCGCTCCGGTTTTCCCTTGAATCGATCCTTTCTCGAAAGCATCAGGTCCATATGCGTATCAAAGAAGCCCCCTAATCCATAGTTCATGACCTGAAATACCTCCGTACAGTTCATATCCAGACCAGTCGCATCTCCCAAGCGCTCAGCTATCTTCAGGGTCGCCTCGTTAAAGCTGTTATTATACAAAACAAACTTTGACAATCGGAAAGTGCTGACCTCGTGACTTTTGGTCGCGACATGGTATACGGACGATGGTATCATGTTCTTTTTGCTAGAAGAACGTAGCAGCGCGCTTTCTTTTGGGGATACCATGTCATGTAGTACAACGATAAAGGGATCAACTGAGAGAATTTCAGTTTTGATGGGGGCCAAACGTAGGAATGGTGCGGTGACATGGTTGTACAAACAATACAGTTTTCTTAGTTTTCGGGGAACTTCACACTGACCACTGCAGCACGATGGCAGCTGTGAACGAACAAAGGCCTCTTCTTCATCATTTTGCTTATTAATTGTCTGTTCGGTTTCTGGATAATTAAGAACATCTCTATCCAAGCCATGATATTCCTGAAATATTTCTGAATCGTGGGGAGCGTAATTTAGGGCAGACATGGCAGCTTGTCTAATCATCAAACCCAATGCAGTTGCTACTCACCTAGCTCCCTTCGCACTTGACCCAGTGTCCCATAAAGTTCAGCTTTTTTTGGTCCCCTTAGCAACTGCATTTCCTTCTGGTTACTTGACCGATTATACGCCTTAATGCCTGCTAAAATCCATTGCTCCGCAGAAGTCAAATGTGATTGATCCATCTGATCGAGACCCAATTCCAGACAATCAATAGCTGCCAGCGAGGAGCTAACCAAAGACGGCAAATGCTTGAGCTTTATTGAAATCTACGGTACTCACTTGTATTGCACTCCATCCAGCAAACCATTGGCTATATCACTCGCTAACAGTTGGTAAGTCCCTTGCATTTTTGTAATTCCATCAGCAGCGTCGAAAAAATCATTTTTCTGTGGCATCGTCGAATTTTTTGCTACAATATAAGCCAATTCTTCTGCACAAAGAGACCATCAAAAGTCATAAGAAAAGCCAATAAATGAAAAAACGAACCGAGACCTATTGGCCTTTCCAAATACTGTCGCCACATCAACCAATCCGATTGCATATGACGGATGAGGGAATAACTGCTGAACGGGTTAGCCCAAAATTCCGATAATCCTGTATTTATCGTCTGGTGCACTTCTTCCATCTGCTGAATACCCCTTTAAAACATACACTATCTTGACCAAAATCATAGTTTTTAAAGCTCAGTAGAACTTACCATCTAATGGTTCTGGCTTTCTGGGAGAGCAAATCAACGAACTTTTCCAAATTGCGGACCAAATCGCCTTCCATTTTCAGTAGGTCGTCCATATTGATCACGGATCTTGCATACCGCTTTTCGGAGCCCAATTCAAACATTTGGCTGCGACTCAGACTCAAAAATAGAATACCCACGAGCAGCAGTCTATATTTGAGCATTCTGAATCCCGTTAACTTAAACTAAGACAAGGAATAGGATATATATATGTATATATGTATATTGATTAGTATAATTACATTTATGAGGCTATTAGTTACACCTTTTGATCTAAAATTACTTAGCTCAGTGCAAAAAAAAATCTATAGAAAATTAAGTTTTAAAAAATCTTTACTTTAAGTATATTAAATATTTTAATATAATATTTTCCACAGATAAAAGTCTCTTGCGCTTAAACCTTTATTTTTACATGAAGCGTTTCGAAGTTGCCCTACACCTATATTTTGGCTAATATATAATTCGATATATTATAAATTATGTAAAAGGTACATCACAAAGTAAAAATTGATTAGATTATAAGTTTTTCAATAGACCAAAATTGTTTAGCGCTTGAATTCGATTCGATGCAGGGTCTTCTGAACTCTTGTCCCTTATAGTATACCCACTTGCTGACAACTGCGGAAGATGAAGTAACTTTTAGGATATAAACTGAACTATCCTACTTACCCCACTTGGAACCAACGATAACAGGGCAACCGGTGTGAAGGGTCCACAGTTGATCGTTACCCTTCATGTCCAAATTATACCAAAAGAGGGCCGACCCGAACTTTGGGAATACCGTGATGTTAAGTCCCGGGAAATATGTGGCGCCTCCTTGAGGTACTTCATTCAGCTGGAGGATAGACATAAATAGGATAATAAAGATGCCAACCATATCTTAAATAGCTACATAGAATAATGTGGTAGCCACACGATCATCAGTTCCGTTGTGTCGGTTCATATCCGAATGCAACATGTCATAATGCGATTGGAAGAAACCTGCTAGTCCATAGTTGATGGCCTGAAATGCCTCCGAATAGTTCAAATCGAGACCAGTGGCATCTCCCAAGCGCTCAGTTATCTTCAGGGTCGCCTCGTTGAAGTCATTTTGATACCACACAGACTTTGAAGTGCGGAAGGTAGCGATGTTGTAGATATCCAACGTATCGTCGACGTCAACTGTCGTGGATGGCAACAGGTACGGTTTGCTAATAGATCGTATTAGGGCGCTCTCCTTTGGCGAGACCATTTCATGTAGAATAATAACGAAGGGATCAATCGAAAGGATCTCGGTTTTGATGGGCGCCAATCGCAGGAATGGTGCGGTCTCGTGGTTAAACACACAATATAGCTTCTTAAGTTCTCGAGGAACTTCACATCGACCACTGCAGCAGGTCGGCAATTGCATTTTGCCTTCGGAATCGTCGGTATCGACGGAATCGTCAGAGTTCTTCGACTCCTCAACTTTGTTTCCAGGGAAAGTAAAAGTGTTTTTTTCCAAGCTTTGATACTCCTGAAATGTTTTTGAATCGTGGGGCGAGTGTTTCAGGGCAATTCGAAAGGCTTGCAAGGCACCCTCATGATTTCCTTCAATCGAAAGATGCTTACCCATTTATTAAACCAGGTGCGATCACTCATTACTCACCGTGCTGCATCCTAACTTGTGACAGTATCCTATACAGATAAGCCTTATTTGGTCCTCGGAGCAACTGCAATTCCGTTTGGGGACCCTTGGCTTCAATACCTGCAAGAATCCATTGCTCTGCAAGTGTCCAACGCGATTGATTGATCAGATGATGAGCCATAGCTAAGCAATCAACAGAACCCAGCGAAGAGCTAACATTAAAATGCGTTAAAGAAGTTATGGGTTTAAAAGGATCTCGATTGGTACTTGTATTGTACTCCATCCAGCAAACCATTGGCTATATCACTGGCTGACATCTCGTATGTCGTTTGCATTCTTTTAATCCCGTAAGCAGCGTCGAACATGTCATACTTCTTAGGCAAGGAAGACTTCTTTAACTCCAAATAAGCCAATTCTTCTGCAAAAGGGGGAATTTTACCAATCAAATGATATCAACAATGTGGTAACGAACCTAATCCAACGGCCTCTTCCATAAACACTTGCCACATCAACCAGTCAGCTTGCATGTGCCGAATGAGGGAATAAGTGTCGAAAGGGCTGATTCCAAATTTTGATGATGCTTCATACCTCTGGTGCCTTTCCTTCATCTGGTGGATACCCCTTTAAAGCTTCCAGTGCCTTAAGTATTCTTGATTGATAAGATAGACGGGCAGACTCACAATTTAATTGTTTTCGCTTTCTGGAAAAGCCGTATCGCGTACTTTTCCAGATTGAGGGCCAGATCATCCTCCATTTTCAGTAGATCGTCCATATTCACCACCGATCTTGCATAGCGCTTTTGGTTACTTTCCTCCAGAATCTGTCCCAAGCTCCTGCTAAGGAAGAGAATACCCACCAGTAATAACCCACAGATCAGCATTCTGAATTTCACTAGCTCAAACTGAAACTAGAGACTCTTAATTATCAGACCTTGACGTAAAGTAATTTAATTTATGCGGCTATTAGTTTCAAGTTAATATTCGACTTGAACGACTTATGTTTATAATAGGAAAATGTAAATGGCCCTTTAAATTAGATTATAAGCATTTTACTGATATGTAATAACGCTTTTAAGATTTGTTACCAAAAACCATTACTTGTAACTTTAATAGGAAAGAAAAACATCCACAGTAAATATTAAATTACAACACAGAGGTTGTTAGTTCCACTTCAACCTGCAATTTGCAAGCCTTATATTTACAGCAAACGCGATAATTATTTTTAAAAATATGTCAATTTAGTGCAAAATTTAAGACAAAAATACATACAAAAGTCTGCTAAAGCCTCTAAATTTACTAAATAATAACCAAAGCTGTTTCCTATAATTGGGTTATTTGATAGCATTTTTACCGATCACCAAGCTATGAGCTTCTGCTTTTTTCGCCATTTCCATATAAGACAGACATTAGTTATTATCTAGGCAAAACCAGTTGCCGGCTCAACGAACTCGGCACTTTCCTTGGGGGCGTGTGAGAACAGGTTTAGGCACGACTGAAACCCCTGACTTCTTATAGCTTATGTAATGTTGTGAGGGGTCAAATGCCGGGATCAGTTGGAATCAAAGAGCTCTCTAGAACGGATCTCTAAAAGAATGATGTTCCCGGTGTTTTCGGTAGTTCTGTTGGTGCTACACCAACTGTTTGGCTCCATTTCTGGAGCCGAATTTTTCTCCTCCGTATACGAGATGACCAAAGTTTTCGGTTATGAACAGAAAATGCTGCTGCATATGCAAAAGTTCTTAGCTGATAATCAGGGAAAATTGGATTTCCTAAAAGCGTAAGAAAAGTGGTGAACTTAAATGTGTTTCTTAATGTTAATCTATTTAATTTTTAAAAATAGGAGACTGCGTGAGTTCGAAAACGAACGAAATGAGGCCCGTGAATGGGGTGCAGCGTATTTTGATAGTCCTCTAAACAAGTATTTGCTTAACAAAAGACTGACGGTTGATTGGCAGCGAGTGGAGAACCTCATGGAGACATCAACAGGCGAAAGTGGGTAAAAAGCAAATCGATGAATAGACATTATTTAATATATTCTTACTATTTTTACTTACAGAAGCACTGAATCGTTTGAAAAAGCTCAGAAATCGAGAGATAATGCCAAATAAAGGTGAACTTAATGGAGCCATAGATGGCCTTCTTCGATTGCAGTATGTTTACAGGCTGGAGGCCAAGGATCTCGCCAGGGGAATCTTGGATGGCGTGGATTACGGGTAATTAAAGCTAACTATTTTTTATGGCACTCTTAATAGAAATTGAATGCATTTTAGAAACCAACTTAATTCTGAGCTCTGTGTGGATATAGCCAAGTTAGCTCTAAAGGATCAGCATCCACGTTTGGCTCATTCCTGGCTAATTGAGGCTAATGATCGTTTGGCAGGAGGAGAAAAGGATAAAGAGCTAAAACCACAGATTTTAGCGCTTCTTGTACAAGCCAAGGCGGAGTTGAAAGACTTCCGGGGTCTTAATGATACCTACCAGGAGCTTGTCAAGATTCAACCAGCTAGTGAAGAGCATGCCAGGAATTACGAAAGTTTTTTGGAGTCTTTAGGAGAAAATGCTTTACTCAATGATTCGAAGCCAATACTAGAACATGCAGTAAGTGTTCTTCATTAAAAATTCATTAAAATATTTTAAATTGATTTTTATAACTTAATATTTTAGCCCATTCCTGAGGAGGGTGAGCCTGTGGGTGAGTTCCAGGCCTTCAGCCTCACTTGCAGTGGTCACTGGAGACTCACTCCCAAGGAGCAGCGTCATCTTCGCTGTGGCTACGTGATCGAAACACATCCTTTCCTGTGGATAGCTCCCCTCAAAGCGGAGGAACTTTTCCAGGATCCCCTGCTCGTCCTGTACCACGACGTCATATATCAAAGCGAAATCGATGTCATACGGAAACTAACCAAAAACAAACTAATTCGGGCCACAATAACTGGTAGCAATGAGGTGGTGGTATCCAATGTTCGCACCAGCCAGTTCACTTTTATCCCAGCCACAATGCACAAGGTGTTGGCCACCATCGATCAAAGAGTAGCGGATATGACCAACATGAACATGAAATATGCGGAAGATCACCAGTTTGCCAACTACGGAATCGGTGGACATTACGGACAGCACATGGACTGGTTCCCCCAGACTACCGTGAGTTAGAGGTATATTAAAATATTTCATTTTAATAATATTATTTTACAGATTGATGCTGGTTTGGTTTCCTCTCCTGAAATGGGGAACCGCATTGCCACAGTTCTTTTTTATGTGAGTATGCTAAATATAATATTGAGATTCGTAATATAATCCTGTTAATAGATCATTTTTAAAAATACCCTATAATTTTGCAAGCTTTAGATCTAAGAAATACTTTCCATCACAAAAATGTAAAAGTTTTTAATTTATCCACAGCTCTCGGATGTAGCTCAAGGGGGAGGCACCGCCTTTCCCCAGTTGAAGCAACTTTTAAAGCCGAAAAAATATGCAGGTATTTCTCAACGCAATTTTTTTCCTTTTCCCATAGTTTACCTTATATAATATTCCAGCTGCCTTTTGGCACAATCTGCATGCCTCTGGAGTGGGCGATGTTCGTACTCAACACGGCGCTTGTCCCATTATCGCTGGTTCTAAGTGGGGTATGTTTCAAATATCTCCTCTTATTTGACAAACGTGACTAAGTTCTAATTTTGTTATTTTATAGTGCAAAATCGTTGGATCCGTGAGATTGATCAATCAGATCGCCGACCTTGCGAAATGTGGGATGATTCCTTGGCCACCTATGCCCAGATTTTGGAGCTAAACAAACAAAATGAGGCTGCTTCTAAAAAAGTTGAGCAAAATGAATACTCCAAATTAGCTTAAGTTTTAGTTAATAACTTTATAAACATAAAGAATGTGATAACAAAAAGTTAAAAAAATATTCAATTTATTTATTTTATTTTATTGTCCAAATATTAAATTTACTTACTTTCCCGGTTTGGGCTTCCAAACCGCTCCCCTTAGTAAATACACATGATTGAATACCTGAGGTTCCGCCAGGAGTGGAAACCCCTTTCAAAAAGTTGCTTTATTTGTGATCTGTTCTCTCGCTGCTTGTAACATTCGCCAGCTAAGTTAGAACCAACACTAATTAATTGCGTACTTGCTAGTACTAGCTAGAGCCCCGCCTCTCTGCCCCTTCTTAAAGGTCAGGGTTCACACGGGGTCATGCCTTTGGCTTGCAGCTGTTCCTATCTGATCTGGATCTGGTCTGCTCTATACGCAATATGTGTGTATTTGAATAAATTCAATTGAATATGTCTTAAAACAAACATTCATATGTAGTTGTATAAGTTATGCATTTAAATCCAGCAACAACATTTATGTAGTAATTAATTTCTGTGCTCTGCGCATAATAGTACAATAATAATGACAATAATTTTCTGCTATATGTATAAGTTTGAAAAGTTCACCGCTCTTATCCATCAAAACATTTATATAAATTTCTCTTCTTTTTTTTTTGATTTTCTTTTGACATTTTGTCGTTTTGTTTTTGATTTTTGTACATTTTTTGGGAAAAATGTTTTTTATTTAGGTAAAATAGTTGAGTTTGGAGATTTTATCGCAACTCTGCATTTTAAAAGGACACCGAGTGAAAGTTTTTTGACTATGCAAATGTGTCATGTGTATAAAGGTTTAAATTCGCTATATTATGTCATTCCATATGCTTTAATCCTCTGGTTGGTGGTGGGCGATTTGCTAGACTGTCACTAGTTTAGTAATATAGTTTAGTTTCAGTTACAGTTACAGTTACAGTTACAGCTTTAGCTTAGTTTTGTTTGCTGCCAAGGGATTGTCTTGGGGGTACATTCATGGTACATTGAAACATCGATATACAAATACACTGGTTACATAAATATATTGAATATGGGGTGTATATTCTCATATGCATGACTGCGTTTAAAATTTGACTAAGTTACTTCAACTTAAAATTCTTGCCGCTCCGCCTGTGATTTTCTTTGGGGGAGTTTATTGAAATTACAGTTTCTTTCTCTTAAATATACGTTAGTTAATTACCATTTTTCTATATATATATTTTTTTTTGTACACCTATAAACATTTATATAAGAGTATCTGTGCTCTGTAGTTCGCAACGCTTAATATACACATCAATAATAAGTTTGTTTCCCTTTCTGAATATTTTTGATATAATTGCATAACTTTTGAAAGTATCCTACCGATGGATACTCTCTATTTCATCTGCTCCCTCTTCGGTTTGACTTTTCATATGCTTGTGTAAATGTTTTTTTTTTTAAATTGAAACTTTTATCTGAGGCCAACTTTTGCCTTAGATCTCGTAGTTGCGGAACTTGTTGGCCACATCGGTGTTTTCACCGCCCCATTCGGCCTTGCGACTGCCGTAGTACAGGGCCGCGCCGCCCTCCGAGGCCCGCCGGTGGGCGGGGTTGGGCGAGGCTGCGGTCAGGCCACCGCTGCTGCATCCTGCTCCGGATCCGGGTCCTTGGGCAGCTGCTCCTCCGGCCTCCGGCAGCATGCGATCCTTGGTCTTGGGAGTCACCCAGTGCATGGACTTTGATTGGTTGGCAAAGAGGGCGTACAAAGGTGTTAAATACGATTAAATTCCCGCGGTTGTGGTCGAGCACCAAGGCATTTTGAACAGTCGGGGTGACTTTACAGCCCGCCGAATGCATTGGTCCTCCCTTTACGCATGCAGAAACACACACGGATACACATAGAGTTTTGGATGAAGAGGTACATTCAATAGAGGTTTACAATTTGGTGGAGTTCGTCGGGCACTCAGGAGCGGGCTTATGGAAAGACACAGAGAAATAGGAAGAACAGGGGGCTTGAGCTGGGTATACTAACTACTAAAGGAATAAACACAGAATATTGAGGAGTTAATTCCATAGCTGGAGGGCTGTTGGTGATAAAAAAAAGGTAATTACAAAGACTTAGTTACGAGTTTTAATTACAAAACAAAAGCATAAAATAGCACCTTTTAATATAATAATAATTGCTTAATTTTTCCTTTTAATTTGTGGAATTCCGAGGGAGTATTTTCGAGTTGGAGAACGTATTCACCGTGAAGTTTCAGCCAGATGTCCGGGCTGCAAATTAGAAATGCAAATGCGGATTTGGTGCGGTCATAATCCCCGCCCCCTTTGAAGGCCGGACAACGTCAGCCGCTGATGGATGGGCGACAATTTCCGCTGGGGCCGTCAACGGAAATTACCATCGAGCCCGACGGTTTGGGAAAATGGGTGGCCGGGTAATGAATAATCGCGTTAATTGTGCTACAACAACGGCGAACTCCGGCTTGGCTTACAAATTTCATTAAGAGCGCGACAAACAAACCAATGAAAGGAACTTAAAACAGGGACAAGTGTTGACGCAATGCAGCGGAGAAAAGGATAAAAACAAAGGATCAGAGCTCCCTTTGTGCCGGATAAAGTGAGAGGGCTAGAAAGTGTAAGTAATAGTAGGGTCGGGACGACTACTTCTCTGGTTCGCTGAGTTCCTGGCCATAACGCATACCTCTTTATCCACTTTCTCGGCAATCGTGTATCTTCTCACCTGACCGACATGCTCCTTCATGCCCAGCCACTGTTTGTAGCTCATCGAGATGCCGCTGTTGCGCCACTTGTCGTAAACGGCCCTCTTTTCAGGGTCACACAATGTCTCCTTGGCCTCCTGTGAAAATACATTTTAAAAAGTACATTTTAAACAAAATTCGTGTAAAAGAAGTTTTGCAACTTAATTTTAACAACTTAAATTTTTCAATCTGTATTGAAGTATTCAAACTAGAATAGGCAATAAATTTTAGTTAAAAATGTAAAAGCTTTAAACCAGAAAAAAAAACATTTACAACCAAGGTCTGAAAATCTTGGAATTAGCTTTTCCAGTGACCCTGTCTTTGGTATTTAATTTCTTGTTGTTGTTTTTAGAATTTTGGTTCCTTCTCATGAATAATCTGTGCCTCAAATTCTGTGAAAATTCTCATTTTACAATGCAAAATGTGTAAGGAGAAGCAAACTTTAATATATTTGGCTCGCAACCGAACATGAAAGGGGCACACAAAGCAGAAATCCCCCTTCACACCCCTTATAAAAGCCGATCAGCTCCATGAAAGTCAGGATTCGAATTTGCTCAAGTGCAAAATCAACAGCTGCACAGGTTTCGGATGCCAACCCATCCTCAAGATTCCTATTTTTCTGTCTTGGACTCGCCTGCATGTTAATCAATTTCATGTGCCCCTTTATAGCACACTTATTGGCATGTATTCATAAACACACACATACACACACAGACATAAGGGGAATACCCGCACACTCATACACACTCATCTGCAGATAGGCCCTCACATATTTGCTCGCTCAAGTGATTTTGATAGCCTCGGCTGGGGCTTGATATATATCTTGACTACTTTTACTGCCAGACCCACAACACACACACATAACCACAGCGGTAGACACCGACACACTTGGCGGGTGTTTGATACCCACAGAAGAATACACAAATACAAAACTAATAATATTTGGCTAAGCAAATCTCGTCCTAAAATAATGTTTTTTTTAGACCTTAATATATAGGTTGTAAAAGTTCGTTTAAAACATTTTAGGGATAAAACTATAAATAAATTTCATAATAAATACTTTCAAACTACGCTTAAAAGCCAAAATAAGTAAAAAACTCAAAGAGAATTTATAAAGAATTAAAGAATTAAACTATATTTGGCTATAATACAAGTGATTAACTTCGATATTGAAGCCTTTTTAAGCTGCTTTCGTTCGGAAACTATTCGCTTTCGAATAAGTACGTATCTTTCTAAATCTATAATTATTTTTAAAGATTACTGTTCAAATGCTTTTCTCAGTGCAGATACCCAGATAGACAGACACCCACTTATACACATCACAATTGGGGCTCTGAGATTTCATCGCTGGCTTTCTGTTTTATTGCTCCGGCCGCTTTTTGGGTCCTGTTTACATGATAATCAATTATTTCACTAGCCACTGATTATGTGGGTCAGCAAACAAGGCTCAAACCGGCCAAAGAACTGAAGCACAGGATAACCTGGCTTATTTGTCTTCAATTAGGGCAAACGTTTAGTTGCTTTTTGTGGAAATAATTCAAGACCCTTGGCGAATGGCAATTAACAGCTCGGAAGCGATTCATCTGTACCTGACAAGAATCAAATCGCAATTTTATATTCCGATCCTGTGCTGGATTAGCCTTTCGTTATTATAGGATCCCCTGACGACCCGGGGGATTTCACGGGACAGCTTGACAACTGCAAATCGTGCTGTAAGTTGTTAGTCAAATAACATGATGATGAAGTCCCGACTCATTTGCATACTCCTCGGGGAACGCATTGGAATTTGCCTAGGAAGCCGCAATCCTTTCTGGCCTTCGTTGAAAATCTCAACATTTCATTTTAAACGCTTCATGGGCTCACACACAGGTTTTGTTTTATGGCCAACCATGAAGGTAAGTCCTCTTGCATATTCCGACATATTTACGAGCTCCGCACACATGCACGTCCAATTTTACGAGCCGTAAATTGTACGGAACATTCCCTCTCCGCCGGACAGCGGCACGAGCTTCCGAACAGGCAAAAGTATGATTACGACTCGGATGGGAAATTGCCTCAGTCCAGGACCAAGGACCAGACCCTCATGCATATTTAAGGACTGGGGTTCACTTTTCCCCTTAATTTGGTCTTTTGTTATTACAGAGTGTTAAAACTTCAGGTACGCGGGGGAATGGGAAAATATAAAAACAACAACCTGTAGAAAGCAACAATGAACAGAATCGCTGGACTTATCCAACTAGTCAACATGCTAAAAAGAGATGCTGCTCCTACATGTTGAAATCAAAAACCTTGCTGTGTTTAGTTGGAGAAATTTAGTGGCGAAGATTATTTCGATTTCA